ATCCCCATTGGATCGATGCTCATGATGTCAATCACTAGATTGTCTGGTCCGGACTTGGATTATGTACAGACCGCTGTCATTACTGAGTGCGGCGTTAAACACCAAGGAAACCAACCAACCAAAATAGCTTTCTACAGTTGCTTATACATGTTACCTACCAACATTTTTTAATACTGTTAAATATACCTATTACCTAGATATACCTATCTACAGAATAGTTTACACCATTCCCGTATCGTTCCGAGTGTCGCTGCTGTTTGTTCAACCCACATCTGTTTGCTCATAAAACACTCTTGCTACATTTCAAATAGAAGTTGTTGACAACATTCCAGAACTAAACCATGCATGTATCGTGTGTTGTGTGCACATGAAGACTGTCACGACATAAGCTATATAGTAGTGGGTGTGTCTCTCACAACCACCATGAGACATGCATCCCCCCTCTCTCCTCTCCTCTCCTCTCTTCTCCTCTCTCTTCTCTTTCTTTCTTTCTCTCTCTTTCTTTGTCTCTTTCTTTCTCTCTCTCTCCTCTCCTCTCACAAAATCTGGTTGAAAATGGAGAAATGCATGACAATAACAGTTGTCATCACAGTGTTACATTACACACCAATAATATAGTTGTCAACATCCAGCTCAAGATTCAGTCAATTTACCAGTGACATGTAATACTACGTCACACATCATATGGTTATCGATGTCACCATACAATATTAATACACGACACACAGTGCTGATCACGGTCAATGCATCACACACAAAGTAAACACCAGTGTCACACCCTACCCTCTCTCTACTCCAACTCCCCCCCACCCCCCACCCTCCCCAGCATTTCTACACAGGCTCCCCTCCCCCCACAAAGCTGTACGTTTCACTGAACATGCTGAAAGGACAGTATTGTATTGTAGAGAAGCCAAGCCCTTGCTGTATCCAATCTTGCTTTGATATGAGATATTTATTAGAATCAAATGGTACAGGAAACAAGTGGCTCAGTGGTGATTATATTGCGGCCTCCGTGCTGACATGGCCGTCAATACGAGGAAGTTCCTGAGTACATAAAAGCGGCCTTGTATGCCTCTAGCAGACCTCCATGAAAACATGATGCATGCCTTATCCTCCTGAAATACTATACTGACCAAAAAAGGTTCATGAATATGTTTTGCGGATATGTTCTTCAATTGAGGACTAAGACACAATTTATAATCATATTCATGATAATGATAATGATGATACTCATGATGACATAATGATAACAATAATAATAATAATAATAATAATAGGCCATTTATTTTGTGCATATTTCCACACCACATAGGGGCATGCTCCAAGCGCTACTATTTCACAACAAATATCCCCAAAATATTCATGATCTTTCACCTTTTTGTTCAGTTTATTTGGGATTCAATGACCTTTGTGAAACCGAAAGAGAAATATATGTTTTCTGTTTAATGCTAGAGATGTGTTACATTGTATATTCAATATGAATAGTGTATTGGTGACTGAGACTTCAAAGGCTGTGAATAGCTGAAAGATTGCTGATGCCACTCAGTTAATTACAGTTACTAGGTGCCACATTGCTGTATGTGATAATTATTGTTTCACAGTGTCAGTGTCACTATGATAGTTAGAGATATGAATAATGAATGAAAAGTTTATACCCACGATACATAGCTTTAGTTCCCTACCTACCCTAGGGGGTGATACACTGGATAATGTTGCAGCTGGTAGAGATATTATCACTCAACACCTGGCGGGGAGCATGTTGTCTTGTGCAACATAGGAAAGAGTTGCCTATGTATGAAAACTAGGGCTGGGACGGGTAACTCGGGTACTCGGGTCGGGTGGGTACTGAGTAGGACCCGGGTACCCACAGGACTACCCGGACCCGTGGTTAGTCACGTGATATATTGTTTCATGACAAAAAATATCTAAAACTCTATGGTTACACTACAAGTCACTATTGTTCGCATTTCTTTCTCACTATGCACCCATTCCTTCTGACCTTTATACGTTTGAATAAAGATAAAACTTCAGTCAACTTCAGTGTATGCATGACCAGATTGTTTTATACGTGTATCTCAATACCGGGTAGGGTCGGGTGATAGCATGGTGGGTACCCGGGTTGTAAATTTGGACTCGTCCCAGCCTTAATGAAAACACTTTAACTGTGAGAGACACTTAATTAACTTCGATGCAGTTTATTCCACTGCTATGTTGTAAGAGCATGGAAGCTGGTATTTGTCAGACTTCTAAATATACTGATCAGAAAAAGTTGGGGATCATGAAGATTTGGGGAATATGTTTTTGTACACGTTGTCGTGAAGACACTATATCATGAACATGTCCCCCCCAATATTCCTGATCCCATTTGCTCAGTTGTATATTGGATGGATCACTGTCATCTGGTATCCTTGGTATCCTCGGGATCAGTATTTATTGCGATTAACTTTCTGGACCCTGTAATGGAGAAATCAGTAAAATCTATTGATTCGGGATGTAGAATCAACCAATTCAAGTGATTCCTACCTCTTGGACCATGTTATGTTTGATGTATAATTTCTTTATCATTTTGCATAATAACCTGTAGTTGTCAGTTTTACCTGCACAAAATGCATGTTCAGAATGAACCCTGAATTCCTGGCTCAGAATCAACTACAACAACAACAACAACAACAACAACAACAACAACATGCCATCATCGTAATGTTTAAACAACATTATTGGCCCTGCAGGGCATTTGTGTTGGGTAATTCCACACAAATCTCATGGATATCTTACGAGGGTTTCTGACCACAATCCCATATATACTCTACCTAACTGCATTTGTTTTGAGAGCTTTCCAACTTTCACAATCTACAGTGTTAACAGGAAGTGGTTCAATGCTGCCAATGTCTCCGTCATCGGTTGTCCGCTTCAAGTCTTTCATTGCCTGTCATAGTCTTTGCCAAAAACGTAGCACTCCGTACATGGCTCTTAGCATCTTTTCCGTAGATTTTAGTGTTACTAGTGAGGGAGTATGGTTTTACGCCGCGTTTTGCAATATTCTAGCAATATCACAGAGGGGGATACCAGAAATTGGCTTCACACTTTGTACGCATGTAGGGAATCAAACCCGGGTCTTTGGCGTGATGAGCAAATGCTTTAACCACTAGGCTACCTGACCGCCTTAGTGTTATTATATGTATTATTATTAGCTGAGCTTAGTAGACCAGAATAAACAGTAAACAGAATTTTAGGAGAATCTGGCTTTAGACTAGTGGCTTTAGTCACAGACTGCTGGTGTCTCATTGCTGGGCCCCATTTTACAGGGATTTGTCTAGGCTTACTCAGGGACCAATATTCAGCCCTAAGTCTGCAATAAATGTCATTAAAAATTCCCAAAATGGAACTAAAAGTTTTGCAATTTATGTTAATAACTAACAGCTAATTTAACGCTTTGTTCCAATCCTATTTTTCATGGATAACAGAACGAATAAATAGGAAAAGCAGGTAATGTGATTATATGTTATTACTTTGAATGCAATTTCAAAGTACAAATGCTCAAATGGGCCTAACTCTGAATTAAAAAAACATAGAACTTAAAAAAATCCCAATGTTTAAACAAACTATTTTTTCCCAAATTGCCTGCCAGAGCCACTTTGTTTAAAATCCTTGATAAGTCCCTGTCTACATGGAGATCCTAGCTGGACTGCTGTCAACCAAAGATTAGACCAACAACAGTCGTAGTGCTCAGACCGGCTTCAGAACAGGGCCCTGGAATGCAATCCTGAAGGAATTCCAATTTGATAACAATTTCCTTTCTAGAAAACATTTTTCAAGTTCAGACTTGTGATGTTGTTGCCATTTGAGTATTGAGGAGGGATTATTGCTCAGACAAGGCACCAGGAGCTACACTGATAAACAAGCTCACGGAAATAACAGTCAGTGCCATGTCATGTAGATGAGAATATTACTTTCGGTGAATGTGTGACTTGCTTAAAAAGGACAAAAACACTGAATAAACCTGCTTCAATTGCTGACATGATTATATTCACCTGTGATAACGCTAGAATATGATGAAGGTGGCATTTAGCATAGTCACTCGTTTATGAGATCAAAGTAGCACATGTTTTTGTTACTGATGTCTTTCCTGACTGTCACTGTGTTTGCGTCCCATATTTGCCCTGATTACGTGTCAGGGTTCGTTATGGGTTCCACCAAAATGGTATACGTGTAAGATGTACGGGGAGCATGGGTGGGTGTCGCATGTTGGTGTGCAGACTTGCATCCCTTCGGTATGTCAGAAACCTATGGTCATGGGTTCGAATCTTGGTTTGCCCCGATTATGTTTCCAGGTTTATCTGCACCATAATTGTGCTCGCGGGTTTCACAAAAGTGGTAAATGTCTGAAACCTGCATCACTTGGGGCTTTCCACACACATTTAGCTGACACCCCAACTCACTCACTCACTCACTCACTCACTCACTCACTCACTCACTCACTCACTCACTCACTCACTCACTCACTCACTCACTCACTCACTCACTCACTGTAAGATGTACACCACTTTGTTCTTCCCAAATGCTCTGATAAAAACTGAAATACTCTTCAAAACAAATTCAATCACTCACTCCTACTTTCTAATGTATTATAGGGGCGTTCGGGTAGCCCAGTGGTTAAAGCGTTCGCTCGTCACGCCGAAGACCGGGGTTCGAATCCCAACATGGGTACAATGTGTGATGCCCATTTCTGGTGTCCCCCGCCGTGATATTGCTAGAATATTGCTAAAAGCAGCGTAAAACCATACTCACTCACTCACTCACTCACTCACTCACTCACTCACTCACTCACTCACTCACTCACTCACTCACTCACTCACTCACTCACTCACTCACTCACTCACCCACCCACCCACTCACTCACTCACTCACCCACCCACCCACCCACCCATGGTTCTACACCCTGGCTGTACATGCTACAACCAATGGATGGCTATGATGACCTTGGCTATGTCTCATTGCAGGATCTGATGAAGAGACCGATAAGCAGGCCCGTGACCGGTTCTACAGCGTCCCGGCATCGGCTCAGACCAACAGACAGGTAGGTCAATATTCCAGATAGCACAACATTTTTTAAGTAATGGGTTTGTAGGTGAGAAGTCATAGGAATATGGCAGCACATGCAATTTGCCTTGGCGCTGATTCAAAGTTTGGGGATTGGGAAGTATCATCCTGTATTAAACAACAAACGATGCTTTTTTTCTGATCACTTCTTGTATAAGGTAAGCAGGGAACAAACTGTTTAAAATAAAAAAATCTTATTGTGCTGAAGAATAGCTTTAATATGGGACAATATTTCTGGTGAGCTGGAGAGTGTCTACTATTTTCTCTGAAGACTATCATGAAGGATGATTAAAGAAACAAAAGCAAATTATCATAAACAATGAATTTAACAAAAGCAAAATTGTACCAGTCATCAGTTGCTAAAGACCACAGACAAAAAGAAGTCTTTAGCAAATGTTAAGTAGTATAGTTTGTTTACAATTAATAAGTTTATTTACTTTAGTGTAAGAATAAATATTAAAAATTGGATTCTATCAATATTGGATAATGAAGTCAGTTATACAGAAATCAGTCTTTGTAGTGGTTGTCGTTTTGCCTAGTGAAGGGCATCATGTAGAATTTACTGTACAGCAAAGCTTGGCTGTTAAATAAGTTGAGGCTGTGAAGTTAAAAGGGATTTGTTCAAGCAGGACAGCCTATATGACAGGTTGTCATGGTGATATAACCCTGTGTCTATCTGACGTGTTGTCAAGGTGATTTTTATGGGTTTGTGACGGGAGTGCCAGGGGTATTGAGTACACCATGAACAACTCTGATTCAGGAAAATGTAGATTATGCAGTTTGATAGGTAGTTTGACAATTGGTCTGATATTACAACCATATCCTAGGGGCAGTAGTGTTTGATTCAAACATTCCAGCACTTAGTCCCCCCCAAGTCCTGTTTCCCCCACGGGGATGTGTGATATACGGCATATCACCTGTCATGTTAGTTTTGCAAGTTGAGTAGACAGGAAGGCAGGTTACTCATGTCAGTGCTATGGCCACATGTTACGTCACTATCTGATAAAAATTTAATAGCATCAATCTTGTTATAATAAGCAATAAGGGAGAGGTTTTTCAATATCATATCTTTTCTACAGTTATGCAATGTCTGTGTAGCACCATGCAATACTGGGGTGAAATTGGGGTTACTTAGGAAGATGAACAATTTAGAAATAACCAATTTTGGGGAAAAGAATTTTTGGAGTAAACAGTGGCTCTAACAGTATGCAAGTAGATGGTGAATACGGATGATATCCTGAATGACCCAGCTCCAGATGATTATATATTGGTTTAAAGTATCAAACTCTCCAAATTGTATACTAAATACGATATGTGACCCTTAAAGTCTTGATGCTGATTGTCAGTTTTAATGCTATGTTGTCATATATTCAGAACAATACTTTGTAATTACATGTTCCATCTGAACAACAGGCTGATTTCCGTGTCTCCCGTGAAGATCTGGGTTAGAATTTGTCTTCAGCAACCCATGTTTGTCATAACAGGCAACTAATAGGAACAGGTGGTCAGACTTGCTGACTTGGTTGATGTGTGTCGCCGTGTCCCAATTGCATAGGTCGATGTTCATGATGTCAATCACTGAATTGTCTCGTTCAGACTTAATTATTTACAAGTTGCCATCATGTGACTGGAATATTGTTGAGTGTGGCGTTAAACAACAAACAAACAAACACAAAGTTCTTTAAATCCCCAAACATTCCCAACTAGATAAGCCCCTGCTGTAAAGTTCCACAGCATGGAGATTTGAATTTGCTTTCATACACTACTGATTTTAGGTAAGTTAATCTGAAAGCACAAGGTGTGACCATGTCGTGACTTTACAGGAGATAGACTACCTGAGTGTAGGCTTGAGTGCCTGGAACATCATGTGGGACCTGATCACTAGTGACGACTCAGAGTGGAAGAAGGAGGCTGGGACCGACCCCACGGGAGGCTGTGTCCACAGCAGGTCCGTGCCCACACACGGCAAGGTCTTCAGGCTACAGGTGAGACACTGACAGGGGACCTAGAGAATTAGGAGGTTCCTCACAAAGGGAGGGGTTTGAAATGTGAAAATTTGGATGAGGGTACATGTATATTCTTTTTACGTTGTGTGACTGTCATGATAAAACAAAAGTATGATGGCACTTTTGCATTCTTTGGGAGGCCAATGAAAAAAATAACAACACTTGGCGAGGTTACACAATTATGAACTACACTTGGGTAGTTTTACTCAAGAAATAAGCGATAAGCGGGAGTTGTTTATCGTACAATAAAACACTGCAGGGAAAAAAAACATGAGGGGAATCCGACTGCGGCAATGTCGGGCAAGTCCATTTTACTAATGGGGGGGTAATTTTGGTATTTCTGGCATATTCTCACAATTTTCATGTCAATTATCTGTACCTTTTCTCGAAAATACTGATTGTCATATCTCTTTCACTTTTGGAAGCGGTCGTTCGGCCATCGCGTTTATCTACGTTGCCCAGCTACATCTATGGGGAACAACTCACTAGACACTTCCCTCTCAAAAATAACGTTGTCCAATATACTGACATCAGCAGTGTTTTATCGTGAAATAAAACCATGTTCGTTGTTCGTTGTTCTTTGCGATTTATCTCATAGCTATCTTGTATAGAAAAATATACAACACTTTGGGAGGGATGCAGAGAAATAGAGAATCTCACCCTCGTGTCTTTTGATATCAAATATATCAACACGAGTTGAAAAAAGTGGGAAAACTCCGAGGCTTCCCAAGGTTTTTTTTCCACTTTTATCAACGAGTGTTGATATATTTGATATCAAAAGACACGAGGGTGAGATTTTATTTATTATCCAACATCATTCTTCCAACTTCCAAGTTTGTAGAAAGTCATAAGCAGTGTCTAAGTGTAAAAAGTACTGCTAACAGCTTCAGTAGCAGAGCCATTAGTGATGTCATTTGATTGTGACGTCATGGTAACCAATGACGTCACAATGGTCTGCAAAGCATTGTGATGCAACTTCATTGCAGAGATATCTACAGTATAGATATCGCTTGATCTCACCCAAGTGATATCTCCTGTGGGAGTGAATGAATGAATGAAACATATTGGGACTGTGTTTGTGTATAAAGACAATCTCCATTATCAGACATTCAATCTTCAAATTCCGTTTGGATCCTGGCACAATGATAAACTATTGCGTTATCTGTCCTGTTGAACTGTTGTGATACCTTTTTCTGCTGGATGTTTCTAATATCTATTTCTATTGAACATTTATGCTTTTCAGGGTTTAGTGGAGCTTAGCCCAGCTGATCTGTTTCGTGAGATAGTGACCAATCAGAGTGAGCAGCCAGACTGGAACCCCACTGTGATTGAGTGCAGGGTGGGTATACGAGGATTAACTTTGCAAAGCCTTGCATTAGAGGAGTGTCATAAAACATGGCAACAGTCTCTGATTCAGAGGGTCAGTCTTCGTTGTGGTATGTGTGTGAAGCCCATTTCTGGTGTCCCCCGCCGTGATATTGCTGGAATATTGCTAAAAGTGGCGTAAAACCATACTCACTCACTCATTGTGGTATGTCCTTGCATTCTGTGGCCACCTTCCGCTGCCATGCATGTGGTTGTGGTATGAGTGAGTGAAAGAAGGTTAATGTTGAGCCTGGACCAGGCAAACCTATCTTCCCAAGGCATGGGAGTTAACTGACTATAAAAGTCCAGTTTCCACCCATGCTGGAATTATGAAGTTATATATTGGCTTAAATAATGATTTTATGCATAGTCCAATCAAAATCGCGTGATGAAATTGACAAAATCGTCAGCTGTCTTGCAGATTTCCGTGTAAGATTTGTAAAGCATGTGTACCACCAACTCGGCGTCAACAGATATTTTCCAAATCCTTTGATGTTTCTAATCAAGGTTCTTACTGATTTGAGTGCACTTCGTGAAGTAAGACCCGTTATATTAAAATATAGATCTTGATTATCGATCTGATCGTCTTAATGTCAATCACTAGATTGTCTGGTCCAGACTCGATTATTTACAGACTGCCATCATATAGCTTGAAGCAAATACAAGTGATATGAGAGATGGAATCTGATTGGTTAATAGGAGGGACATAGAAGGGACATAACTCGTAATAGCCACTGGTGGCTCTACGATTGAGCCACAAAGTTCCAGCGTAGTTCGGCAAGGGTCGAAACTGGACTTTTTTAGTCAGTTAACTCCCTTGACTCAGGAAGATGAGGCAAACCAGGGGGTATCATCATGACCCACATCGTTGGATGCACTGTCAGTGAGGTCACACATCGTAACCACCAAATCCTCAGTGTACTCCGCTGTGATCTGACGATATGATCTGACAAAAACTCACAAAGATTTGAAATAGCTGCTGGCAATATACCGAGGTAGTGGCCTCTCAGTATGGACTTGTTTGTCAGTGTTGGAGTGTGTGTTGTTGATATATAATTTATACACATCTGCTACAAGTGTAGGAATATTCTCTTGTCTCCCATATTGAGTGAGTGAGTGAATGTTGTTTTATGCTGTCGTCAATACTATTCCAGCTATATCATAATTTGTAAGTAATCGAGTCTGGACCAGACAAGCCATACCTGATCATTATTCTGATCAAGTTCTTGAATATGCTAAAGATCCCCCCTTCCTGGTTATTGCAGACGCTGCAAATGGTGAATGACAACACAGATGTCTCCTACAATGTTGCTGCCGAGGGTGGTGGCGGTCTGATCACAAGCCGAGACTTTGTCACAGTGAGACACTGGGGTGTGAAGGACGGAATCCACATGTCAGCAGGCATTGCTACTACACATTCAGAAATGGCGCCGCAGAAGAAATATGTCAGGTGAGTTCTCACAATACAAGGCAACAAAGAAAAGATCTCTGTTAAGTCATGTACCGTATTCGACGTAATAAGCGATATTTGCTAATATATTGGCTAGTGAACAATCCCTATTAGCAACCCTTCAGATTGATCAATGTACACAAGACTTATTTATTCATGTATAATACATGTGTTATATGCATCCTTAATGGGACATTAAATTCTGGAAAAAATATATCTGTTGTGCATAAACATTTCAGGCTGTCAGCATAAACCACGAAATTTATGATTTTTCAACTCTGTTGTTTTTCACCAGAATAATATTCTAATATGAGCCCCCTATTTCTAATTTTGAGGGCACCCTGGGCTCTTATTATGTCGAATACAGTAATTAGATTGTGTTCTGATGGGGTGCCATCTTGGAAGACTAAGTCTCAAAGTGTGGTTGCTTGAATGTAAGATTGTTTGGATGAAACAGGTCCCAGGCATTTAAGGCGCTGCAATTTGCTTTACAGAGTTCTGTCCCTTAGGAATGCCAGGATCCCAAGACCTACATCACTTCATGCGTTCCTCCCATATAAAGCTGAAATGCTATGTTATAAGTGAAATACTGTTGAAGTCAGTGTTCAACCCAATAACACTGGGTCACCTCTTCATAAGATTGGGGAAATTTAGTCCATGGACATTAAGTGAGTCACTAAGTGAAGAATGTCAATGAGGCAGACAGCTTCAGAAGATAAATGAGGGCTTGTGGTTTCAGGAAAAAAATGACAACCTTGTGGATAACTCGAGTGGCACATGTCAACCATGGTGATAGATGTTGACTTTTTTAGAAATTCTGTAAGATAATTAATCCCATGTTGTGATGGTGGCAGGTTCAACAGTGTTGTGTGTGTTTTCCAGGGGAGAGAACGGCCCAGGAGGCTGGGGCTTCAAGCCTGTCCCCGGGGAGCCTGATCAGTGTATCTTTGTCTGGCTGCTCAACACAAACCTTAAGGTGAGGAGGCGTGGAGAGCGTATGGCTGGTAGACGGGATCAGCACATGGCTGGTAGACGGGGATAGTACTTGCTGGGTAGACAGGGGACAGCACATGGCTCTTAGACAGGAGGAGAGCACATGGCTGGTAGACAGAGGAACAGCACATGGCTGGTAGACGGGGGGGACAGCACATGGCTGGAAGACGGGGGGACAGCACATGGCTGGAAGACGGGGGGACAGCACATTGCTGGAAGACGGGGGGACAGCACATGGCTGGAAGACGGGGGGACAGCACATTGCTGGTAGACGGGGGGACAGCACATGGCTGTAGACAGGGGGACAGCACATTGCTGGTAGACGGGGACAGCACATTGCTGGTAGACAGGGGGACAGCACATGGCTGGTAGACAGGGGGACAGCACATGGCTGGTAGACGGGGGGACAGCACATGGCTGGTAGACTGGGGACAGCACATGGCTGGTAGACAGGGGGACAGCACATGGCTGTAGACAGGGGGACAGCACATTGCTGGTAGACGGGGACAGCACATTGCTGGTAGACAGGGGGACAGCACATGGCTGTAGACAGGGGGACAGCACATGGCTGGTAGACAGGGGGACAGCACATGGCTGGTAGACAGGGGACAGCACATTGCTGGTAGACAGGGGGACAGCACATGGCTGGTAGACAGGGGGACAGCACATGGCTGGTAGACGGGGACAGCACATGGCTGGTAGACTGGGGACAGCACATGGCTGGAAGACGGGGGGACAGCACATGGCTGGTAGACGGGGACAGCACATGGCTGGCAGACAGGGGGACAGCACATTGCTGGTAGACGGGGGGACAGCACATGGCTGGTAGACGGGGGGGACAGCACATGGCTGGAAGACGGGGGGACAGCACATGGCTGGTAGACGGGGGGACAGCACATGGCTGGTAGACAGGGGGACAGCACATGGCTGGTAGACAGGGGGACAGCACATTGCTGGTAGACAGGGGGACAGCACATGGCTGGTAGACAGTGGGACAGCACATGGCTGGTAGACAGAGGAACAGCACATGGCTGGCAGACAGGGGGACAGCACATGGCTGGTAGACGGGGGGACAGCACATGGCTGGTAGACAGGGGGACAGCACATGGCTGGTAGACAGTGGGACAGCACATGGCTGGTAGACAGAGGAACAGCACATGGCTGGCAGACAGGGGGACAGCACATGGCTGGTAGACGGGGGGACAGCACATGGCTGGTAGACAGGGGGACAGCACATGGCTCTTAGACAGGAGGAGAGCACATGGCTGGTAGACAGAGGAACAGCACATGGCTGGTAGACGGGGGGACAGCACATTGCTGGTAGACAGGGGGACAGCACATGGCTGGCAGACAGGGGGACAGCACATTGCTGGTAGACGGGGGGACAGCACATGGCTGGTAGACGGGGGGACAGCACATGGCTGGTAGACGGGGGGGACAGCACATGGCTGGAAGACGGGGGGACAGCACATGGCTGGTAGACAGGGCACAGCACATTGCTGGTAGACGGGGACAGCACATGGCTGGTAGACGGGGACAGCACATGGCTGGTAGACGGGGACAGCACATGGCTGGTAGACGGGGGGACAGCACATGGCTGGAAGACGGGGGGACAGTGCATGGCTGGTAGACGGGGGGACAGCACATGGCTGGAAGACGGGGGGACAGTGCATGGCTGGAAGACGGGGGGACAGCACATGGCTGGTAGATGGGGGGGACAGGTCATGGCTGGTAGACGGGGACAGCACATGGCTGGTAGACATGGGAACAGCACATTGCTGGTAGACGGGGACAGCACATGGCTGGCAGACAGGGGGACAGCACATGGCTGGTAGACAGGGGGACAGCACATGGCTGGTAGACAGGGGGACAGCACATGGCTGGTAGACGGGGGGGACAGCACATGGCTGGTAGACTGGGGACAGCACATGGCTGGTAGACAGGGGGACAGCACATGGCTGGTAGACGGGGACAGCACATGGCTGGCAGACAGGGGGACAGCACATGGCTGGTAGACAGGGGGACAGCACATGGCTGGTAGACAGGGGGACAGCACATGGCTGGTAGACAGGGGGACAGCACATGGCTGGTAGACTGGGGACAGCACATTGCTGGTAGACGGGGACAGCACATGGCTGGCAGACAGGGGGACAGCACATGGCTGGTAGACAGGGGGACAGCACATGGCTGGTAGACAGGGGGACAGCACATGGCTGGTAGACGGGGGGGACAGCACATGGCTGGTAGACTGGGGACAGCACATGGCTGGTAGACAGGGGGCACAGTTCATGGCTGGTAGACAGGGGGACAGCACATGGCTGGTAGACAGGGGAACAGCACATGGCTGGTAGACAGGGGGACAGTTCATGGCTGGTAGACTGGGGACAGCACATGGCTGGTAGACAGGGGGACAGCACATGGCTGGTAGACAGTGGGACAGCACATGGCTGGTAGACTGGGGACAGCACATTGCTGGTAGACAGGGGGACAGCACATTGCTGGTAGACAGGGGGACAGCACATGGCTGGTAGACAGGGGGACAGCACATGGCTGGTAGACAGGGGGACAGCACATGGCTGGTAGACAGGGGGACAGCACATGGCTGGTAGACGGGGGGACAGCACATTGCTGGTAGACGGGGACAGCACATGGCTGGTAGACAGGGGGACAGCACATGGCTGGTAGACAGGGCACAGCACATTGCTGGTAGACAGGGGGACAGCACATGGCTGGTAGACAGGGGGACAGCACATGGCTGGTAGACGGGGACAGCACATGGCTGGTAGACAGGGGGACAGCACATGGCTGGTAGACAGTGGGACAGCACATGGCTGGTAGACAGGGGGACAGCACATGGCTGGTAGACAGTGGGACAGCACATGGCTGGTAGACAGGGGGACAGCACATGGCTGGTAGACAGTGGGACAGCACATGGCTGGTAGACTGGGGACAGCACATTGCTGGTAGACAGGGGGACAGCACATTGCTGGTAGACGGGGGGACAGCACATGGCTGGTAGACGGGGACAGCACATGGCTGGTAGACAGGGGGACAGCACATGGCTGGTAGACAGTGGGACAGCACATGGCTGGTAGACAGGGGGACAGCACATGGCTGGTAGACAGGGACAGCACATGGCTGGTAGACAGGGGGACAGCACATTGCTGGTAGACAGGGGGACAGCACATTGCTGGTAGACGGGGGGACAGCACATTGCTGGTAGACAGGGGGACAGCACATGGCTGGTAGACGGGGGGACAGCACATGGCTGGTAGACAGGGGGACAGCACATGGCTGGTAGACGGGGGGACAGCACATGGCTGGCAGACAGGGGGACAGCACATGGCTGGTAGACGGGGACAGCACATTGCTGGTAGACGGGGACAGCACATTGCTGGTAGACAGGGGGACAGCACATGGCTGGTAGACAGGGGGACAGCACATGGCTGGTAGACGGGGACAGCACATTGCTGGTAGACGGGGGGACAGCACATTGCTGGTAGACAGGGGGACAGCACATGGCTGGTAGACAGGGGGACAGCACATGGCTGGTAGACGGGGACAGCACATTGCTGGTAGACGGGGGGACAGCACATGGCTGGCAGACAGGGGGACAGCACATTGCTGGTAGACAGGGGGATAGCACATTGCTGGTAGACAGGGGGACAGCACATGGCTGGCAGACAGGGGGACAGCACATGGCTGGTAGACGGGGACAGCACATTGCTGGTAGACGGGGACAGCACATTGCTGGTAGACAGGGGGACAGCACATGGCTGGTAGACAGGGGGACAGCACATGGCTGGTAGACGGGGACAGCACATTGCTGGTAGACGGGGGGACAGCACATGGCTGGCAGACAGGGGGACAGCACATTGCTGGTAGACAGGGGGATAGCACATTGCTGGTAGACGGGGGGACAGCACATGGCTGGTAGACGGGGACAGCACATTGCTGGTAGACGGGGACAGCACATTGCTGGTAGACAGGGGGACAGCACATGGCTGGTAGACAGGGGGACAGCACATGGCTGGTAGACGGGGACAGCACATTGCTGGTAGACGGGGGGACAGCACATGGCTGGCAGACAGGGGGACAGCACATTGCTGGTAGACAGGGGGATAGCACATTGCTGGTAGACGGGGGGACAGCACATTGCTGGTAGACAGGGGGACAGCACATGGCTGGTAGACGGGGGGACAGCACATTGCTGGTAGACGGGGGGGACAGCACATTGCTGGTAGACAGGGGGACAGCACATTGCTGGTAGACGGGGGGACAGCACATTGCTGGTAGACGGGGGGGACAGCACATTGCTGGTAGACAGGGGGACAGCACATGGCTGGTAGACAGGGGGACAGCACATTGCTGGTAGACAGGGGGACAGCACATTGCTGGTAGACGGGGGGACAGCACATGGCTGGTAGACAGGGGGACAGCACATTGCTGGTAGACGGGGGGACAGCACATTGCTGGTAGACAGGGGGACAGCACATGGCTGGTAGACGGGGGGGACAGCACATTGCTGGTAGACGGGGGGGACAGCACATTGCTGGTAGACAGGGGGACAGCACATTGCTGGTAGACGGGGGGACAGCACATTGCTGGTAGACGGGGGGGACAGCACATTGCTGGTAGACGGGGGGACAGCACATGGCTGGTAGACAGGGGGACAGCACATTGCTGGTAGACAGGGGGACAGCACATTGCTGGTAGACAGGGGGACAGCACATGGCTGGTAGACGGGGGGACAGCACATTGCTGGTAGACAGGGGGACAGCACATTGCTGGTAGACGGGGGGACAGCACATGGCTGGTAGACAGGGGGACAGCACATGGCTGGTAGACGGGGGGACAGCACATTGCTGGTAGACGGGGACAGCACATGGCTGGTAGACAGGGGGACAGCACATGGCTGGTAGACAGGGCACAGCACATTGCTGGTAGACAGGGGGACAGCACATGGCTGGTAGACAGGGGGACAGCACATGGCTGGTAGACAGGGGGACAGCACATGGCTGGTAGACTGGGGACAGCACATGGCTGGTAGACAGGGGGACAGCACATGGCTGGTAGACGGGGGGACAGCACATTGCTGGTAGACTGGGGACAGCACATGGCTCTTTGACAGGGGGACAGTGTGGTCTTAGACATCTGGAATTTGAGTCTGTTTTCAATTGAAATGACAAAACAAATTTGCTAAGATTGCAATTAAAATGAAAATAGTCTGAAAATTGGTAGAACAATTTCACAGAAATGTATGGGATGTTTTTTTCTTTTAATGGAACCCATCATGCATTCCATGGACAATTCAGCGTCGTTATAATCATATATAAACATGTATTATTTAGCCATTTCCTTCACAGCTAACATCTCCACAGTTGAAACAATTAAAACTGAAAAATTTAAATTTCAAGCAATTTTAGTCTGAAATGATGATAGTCCTTTCAGGCACAAGTATGTCATCAAGTTTGTTGAATTAAGAAGAATCACTTTAATGGAAAGAGAGCATGTGTGCTGAGCTAACAATATCTTATAAAAGTAATTGCCCATGTTAAATATATGATCAGCGCTGCATCATTATTCAACAGGAGAATGTTCATTGCTGCTTGTGTGAAATAGTTTTGCATGGAATAAAACCATATGAAATCTACTGTTTGTTTACAGGGCTGGCTTCCACAGAAATTGATCGACCAGAGTTTGTCAACAGTCTGTCTTGACATGCTTGCTCACGTACGCAAACGGGCGGAAACCTTAAACACCGCAGGGAGGTGAGGGGAACATAAGGAAATGTGCAAGGACACCAGATTGTAACAGGAAACGGGGTGCAATATACTGACAACTTCTGTACAAGTCCTGTTCTTGTTGTGACCAATCATCTGCCAGCATGATCCAGATTCGGATCCTGTGGCTCCACGCTGACAGACTTGTGTTGTGTGTTGGAAGATATACTATGGAACAAGTAGCATAATAGAAACAATGTGTTGAGTGATAGGGGATATATTGACCAACATCTTCCAGCACTGACAGAGAGAACCGTTGTCCGGCACCGCTGGTTGTGGACAGCTACACACAGGTGCTGCTCCCTGTATGACAGAATATTTAGCCCACTCTTTAAACTTCATGGTTAACTTGTCCACCAATCCTATTATTTTGTATGATTTGTGAAAAAAAGAATAATTTTTCTCTCAATTCGAAAATATTTTTTTATGCAAAAAATATTTTAGATGGTCTTATTTTGAACATTTTATATATGGCTTTCAAATATGTGTCCGTGAAATTCTGTTTATCCAGAAATGTTCAGAACAATTTTAATATTAATGGAACTTACTTACCCTGAGTTTCATAGCATCAATATACTGATTTTGAGTTTAAAGATTGTAATTTTATTGTTAAGATATTATATTTTTATTTTCTTGAAGCAATTACTCTGCAAGAATGAATCGTGTGAACCAAGAAAAACAATACCGAAATACTTCACTATGTTGTCTTACAGAAGGTAACAAATACCTGACAGAGTTGTGTGAACACAACAAGTGCTTGTTTGTCACTGTTTACACACACAAAACATACACACTTCATGATGTCACTTATGTCTGTAAATAACATTTTTTACAATTTTGCTTTTGTAAGTGAATTTATATGCAAGAATTATGTCTATTCTTGTATTTCAAATCATGAGTTATGTTGTCAGGGACAGGATGCTGTCCCCACACATTATATATGCAATGCTATTCATGTATTCATCAGTTGCTACTAACAGAATAGATAATTAGCATGAAAAAGTGCCAAACTACTATTACGACTACATTCTATATAAATTAAATCACAAATCACGGATGTGAGGTTTAGCAATATTCACTGAGATCAAATTTGTTTCCAAATTTATTTGAAGAGACTGATCTTTTGACTCATAGAATGGCTAGTCTGCGTTGACGCAACGTTACTTCACCTGTCATAAAAAAAGTGGCTTGTAATATATTAGTGGTCGTGTTTGCTGGTCAGAGCAATTTCTCTTATTTACGAAACGTTAATATGTACATGACATGCTGTTCAAGGGAGATAACTCTAATTTACAAACAGCTCATTGGCAAAATGGACACATTTTAAACATTATTTATGCTTTGTGTGAAAGATCTTTATCAGTTTGGTTTCAACAGACTAAGGCTGTACAAAACAGACGATAATCAACATGTAATTTATGGGAAATTCGGCATAAGTTGAATGCAGATATTCTCCATGATAGCATTACATGTTGCTTGTTCATAGGGCTTCTAAAGGTGCCATACTGGAATAACTAACCGGTGGGAAAATGCTATTTAATTATCGTCATGATGACAAAGTCTTGTTGATATTACTAGAACAAAGTAAATGTATATATGTAAATAGAGACACATAGATCTACCCATGTAGATGCAGATATTTGGCACATGTATGTGTCTGTATGTACCGTGACCAGTGTGCAACGTGTATGTACAGGATTGATAACGAAGGAGCCCATTTTTGACCAATTACATGTAATAAGGTATACGTTGTAACTGACTTTTATGCCAGACAAGATATTCATCTTAAATACCGGTACACTGATTAGAAATACTCAAAAAAATTATATTTTATTATATTGATAATCTTGAGGATAAGCTTGGAACAAATAAATTGATTAGGTCTGGTAAAAATTTAAAATCAGTCAGAGCCTTGATTATGTGTATCTATATTTAGTGAACAAGCAATCGTGACAACGAGCATGATAGGGTTACATGTCACAGATACAGCTACCTCTTGATGGAACCATTTGTCACAAGACGACCATACCATGTGTTCATCAAAACATACCCCCAAAAAGCCATTCCTTAGTACCAGACGAGTGCATCTAATGAAGCCTTGATGGTGTGTGTTGCTAGAGGAATTGTATACAAGACCTCCAGTGGCTCTCTCAGTTATAGCGGAAGAGGTTCGACAACATGAAAGAACATGTGACAACAGACATGTTAAATCCATTTTTGGATATCAATATAGCAAATTTATATATAGGTACATGTCAAGGTGTGAGTTCGTCATGTTTACTACCGATATTTTGATAAAACTTGTACATATGTTTTCATGCCATGACATACATGAGTATCACCGATCCCCGCCATGTTGGATATGACAGGGCTAGTAGAGAATGATTGTTATATTTAACTAATATCTGTACGAGTTATGTATGAAAGTGCAATAGGGGTTGACTGATTTAAAGAATTTTTAATCAGTGTGATTTCGCAAGTCTGTATGTTATTCACCAAAACTTTGAGAGCACTTTTCATACATCTGTGATCCTGAGAGTACAGAGATTATATTATGTTACTGTTCTACCAGCTTCTTTGTTTATCATTATTGACCTCACTTACGCAAGATCAGGTGACTCAGTACACACCTCTCAACTTTTGGTAGGGATATTCCTTGTGCCCCCGTGGTACACCAAACTATTGTTTAAAGACTATCAAGGTTGTGTAGCATTTATCAGATAAGACAACTTTGTTTTTCATTGTTAAATGTTGACGTCCGAAGGACTCCATGTTAATGAAGTTTCACTGTACTTTTAAAACTTATCATTTTTGGAAGGTATTGTCTGTGGATCTTTTGTCATGTTGCAGTCAGTTTTCTTCATGAAATATTTAACTGTTTTTTTATGCAGGTGACAAATCTGTCACCTGATGTCCCCAAGGAAATTTGTTTGATCCATGCTTTTTACAGTGAGAGTGAACACATTGAAGTCTTACTTTTGAAAGGGTTAATTATTCTTGCATTTAGGCTGGGAAACTGTTTAATTCGTCGAGCTTCATAGGGCACGTATTAGCCAATACAATGACAGAAGCAGGGCATAGGGCACTCATCACGGAGTTTCATTGGTCAATCCGAGTTGACCAGCCATAGCGGGGGGGTGTTCTGTACTGTATATCATAGCACTTGTACAAACATCTGCGTTATTTGGAGGACAGCCTATCACATGTAATGTTTCATACGAAGAATTATTCAAAATCATTTAATTTTACTCAATACAATACATTAAGATTTCATCATTGTTTTATTTATGATTATGTTACCATGGGAACCTTGGGTTTGTGAAGCCCAAACAAAATTTGGGTTTTATCCATTTATACTAGAAAGATGTAATAAATTTCTCGTTATAAAGTAATATTTCATTATGGCTCGAATTTCTTTTGAAACAGACACAATATCTTATGAACAACTTTAAAGTTATTTTTTTATGTAGGCTTGTTAGGGAATTTTTTTATAATATCTGACCTGAAAGGCCTACTTTGAACCTGTCTGATGGTAGTCATATTCTTCATGAAACATGATTTCTAACAGTCCTTTCATCTTGTTGTGATTGCAGTGTGTTTTATCAAGGAGCTGCTATGCTGTCCATGTAGGATGGACATCTACATCAAACATTACCTGCATCATGTACTCATAACTTAACCCTTTATGTACAAACTGTAGAAAATAGGATGTGTATAGTGAACATTTGTACTTATGTGATGTTTTGTATATATGATGATGATGATGAATATGGAAGATACCGTTTCAGGACATGTGATAATATAAAATAAATCGTCTTTTTTTCAGTAAACATGTGTCGTTTTCATTCAACCTGTCCCATTTAAAACAGACCGCCTCTGTGGTCTTGTGGTAGAGCGTCTGCCCGGAGAGTGGATGGTCCAGGCTTCGATACTTGACCGTGTCATACAAAAAGACGTTAAAAGATGGTACTCATTGTTACCATGTCTGGCGCTCGGCATTAAGAGGCTAAATCAAGGACTGGTCGGCTCGGAGTCAGTATATTGTGTCTGAGTGGGGTATTCATGTTGCATGGTATCTCAGTGGGCTAGCACTATAAATCGGCATCAATCCGGACAAGTACAGGCAGCCAAAATGTCAAACTTGGATCTCATTTTCTTTGTGAAAGAGTATTGTTTATAGCTTGATTAATAAGACAATGAGAATGAAGACACCTTGTCATCCAGTCTCAGAGTGTTCTGTCTGCTTCCTTATAATGTCATGAACCATGTTCAGACTGTCAGCGGTTGTAAGTGAATGATTATAGTTTTATCCTGCTTTTAGCATTATCCCAGCAATATCACGCCAGGGGACACCAGAAATGGGCTTCACAAATTGTACCCATGTCAGGAAATCGAACCTGGGTCTTCGGTGTGATGAGCGAGCGCTTTAACCATGAGGCTATCCAACCACCTGTCAGCTGTTGTAGCAACAGATCCGATGATATGATCAATGTTCAGACAGCTGCTGTTGTAGCTATAGACAGGATGACTGGATCCATGTTCAGACAGTCAGCTGTTGGAGCTATAGACAGGATGACTGGATCCATGTTCAGACAGTCAGCTGTTGGAGCTATAGACAGGATGACTGGATCCATGTTCAGACAGTCAGCTGTTGGAGCTATAGACTGGATGACTGGATACATGTTCAGACAGTCAGCTGTTGGAGCTATAGACAGGATGACTGGATCCATGTTCAGACAGTCAGCTGTAGCTATAGACAGGATGACTGGATACATGTTCAGACAGTCAGCTGTTATAGCTATAGACAGGATGACTGGATACATGTTCAGACAGCTGTTGTAGCTATAAACTGGATGACTGGATCCATGTTGAGAGTTTCAGCTGTTGGAGCTATAGACCAGATGACTGGATCCAAGTTCTGACTGACAGCTGTTGTACCTATGGACAGGATGACTGGATCCATGTTCAGACAGCTGCTGTAGCTTAAGACCGGATGACTGGATCCATGTTCTGACTGACAGCTGTTGTAGCTATAGACAGGATGACTGGATCCAAGTTCTGACTGACAGCTGTTGTACCTATGGACAGGATGACTGGATCCATGTTCAGACAGCTGCTGTAGCTTAAGACCGGATGACTGGATCCATGTTCTGACTGACAGCTGTTGTACCTATGGACAGGATGACTGGATCCATGTTCTGACTGACAGCTGTTGTAGCTATAGACAGGATGACTGGATCCAAGTTCTGACTGACAGCTGTTGTACCTATGGACAGGATGACTGGGTCCATGTTCAGACAGCTGCTGTAGCTATAGACAGGATGACTGGATCCATGTTCTGACTTTCAGCTGTTGTACCTATGGACAGGATGACTGGATCCAAGTTCTGACTGACAGCTGTTGTAGCTATAGACAGGATGACTGGATCCATGTTCTGACTGACAGCTGTTGTAGCTATAGACAGGATGACTGGATCCATGTTCTGACTGACAGCTGTTGTAGCTATAGACAGGATGACTGGATCCAAGTTCTGACTGACAGCTGCTGTAGCTATGGACAGGATGACTGGATCCATAATCAGACAGCTGCTGTAGCTATAGACAGGATGACTGGATCCATGTTCTGACTGACAGCTGTTATAGCTATAGACAGGATGACTGGAACCATATTCAGACAGCTGCTGTAGCTATAGACCAGATGACAGGATCCAAGTTCTGACTGACAGCTGCTGTAGCTATAGACCAGATGACTGGATCCATGTTCTGACAGCTGTTGTAGCTATAGACAGGATGACTGGATCCAAGTTCTGACTGACAGCTGCTGTAGCTATGGACAGGATGACTGGATCCATATTCAGACAGCTGCTGTAGCTATAGACAGGATGACTGGATCCATGTTCTGACTGACAGCTGTTTTACCTATGGACAGGATGACTGGATCCATGTTCTGACTGACAGCTGTTGTACCTATGGACAGGATGACTGGATCCAAGTTCTGACTGACAGCTGTTGTACCTATGGACAGGATGACTGGATCCATATTCAGACAGCTGCTGTAGCTATAGACAGGATGACTCGATCCATGTTCTGACTGACAGCTGCTGTAGCTATAGACAGGATGACGGGAACCAAAGAATTATGGTTTACTGAAAGAAGCGGCAGTAAAATACAAAATTATAGTCTTCACTTTTGTTTTGTTGCGAACAGGCCGATATCATATATTCACAAGGTTTCTGCTTTCAATGTGAGTAAAACTATTACCATATAAGCCACAAAGAATAGTATTCACTAGAAATCTTCAAAATATTTGCCAGACAGACAACCTTCCATTCCTTCCATTCAACAGATAGTTGTACAAACATGTTAATGACAAATGATTCGGTGCTTGTAATATTGTGAACGTGCATGTTGATGGAGAACTGGCTCTTGGCGGAATCAAGGACAAAATCGACATCACTGTCCCGGAACGTTTTTTGCACAACATATAAACAATATACAACAATTACACAATGAGCGGAATACCTGTCTGACAACACAAACACAGCGATTAGCTGACCTTCCAGTTCAGGCATACACGAGGTGAGCGGACCTCAGCTCAACCTCAAGACGTTTCCTGCGAGCGGCACATCCTGCTCGAGGAATACCAAAGTGACTAACAGTGTATTGCTAACACGAACAACGAATGGACAGACAAAGAGACAATGACAGTAATTAACGGGAAGTGATATGGTAGCCCAGGTTGGCTGACAGTCAATATACAATGAAATGGTGAGGATTAACAACGGGGATTAGCGTCTTATTAATAATGGCAATTAAGTTATGGAGACATATTCATGTCATGCCTACAGGGCAATTAGCCTTGGAATCAAATGTTCTTCAGACAATGGTTGTCCCAAATCAGTCGCTATGACAATATCAAGATGTAACAAGCAAAACTTGACAGTGAAGACAGACATACAAGTTTACATGCCTTTCAAAGACTTCAATTTGAAACGCACATAAAATCTTATCCAAACTCATTCCGGTTTCAGTTACGCAACCCTTTTCATTCATCTGGTTTGGGTTTAGGTTGCGTTTACTTGTACGAAACCGGTTTCAGAATGCAGATGTCCGAAGCGGCAGACGGGAACACCTACGAATTTCTGTGAATCATTGTCACCCTGTACATGCATGCCTGCCATTGACAGATCACCACGTGAGTATGTCGTCTCGCTTCTCTATCACACAGTCATCAGCAAGTGTAATTACACCCGATGTGAACCGCGATTGTAAGTTTTGATGAAAAAAAACCCAAATCGGACGCTGTGAAAAGATTCCTGTTTTAGGCGAACTGTCAAGCTTTCAAGAGCTATGACGTGACTGACAGTTGTCATTATGATGTTATTGTATTTCTCTGTGAACGATGTAATTGCCGACGTGATTGTCCACTTATTTACTCAATCGCTGCCTCTTGACAGTGCTTTTGTTTGTTGCAATCTTCAATTACCTTATATGGATATTTGCACGTCTGAAATGACGCATATGAGCTAAATATAGACATCCACCGACGACGTAAACAATGGTAAAGGGGTTCCCCCAACTCTGAAATCAACAATTTATCCTAATTAACTAAATATTTGCCCAAATATTCCCTACAGTCTATATGGATTTCTTTTGATTTAAAAAGATCTAATCATGCTAATTTGGCCATGTTTATGTATTATCAGTGTCAATATTAAGTAAGGATAAGAATTTATGGATGAACAACTTCTTTATTACAACTAAGAGCGACGTTTCGGTGTAGGTTCTAACATTGTTATCAAGCAAGTGAACCTACACCAAAACGTCGCTCTTAAATGTAATAAAGAAGTTGTTCATCCATAAATTCTTATCCTTACTTAGTATTCCAACTTCTAAATGCCTATCAAAGAAGTGTCAATATTGCTGATTAGTCCATTGTTTTCATTTCAGTGTAGGGAACATATTTTTCAGGAATGAAGTTTTTGTAGCTCTTTTAGAAAGATATTCCAGTACAAGATCAATGTCATATTAAATGCAGAGGTCTTCAGTTACTCTTTTATTAATTTTAATTATTATCAATAGGTATACATCTCATCAGTGTGATGCAGGGATAGACACCATTGGTCATTTGTAACTACTTTCACAGGTTATTTTGGACTAGTTGCTCATGTAACATACATGTATCTAGATTTTGGGAGGAAACTATACTAGTGCCTCTAAATGACCACTTTCTCTCTGTGTTGCAGATGCCCCTTCTGGAATAGCTAGCTCATGAACAATGGTTGATTTAGGAAACTTTGTAAGTATTAATTCTACGAAAGTATCAAATTTGTTTGTTTTGTCAGTTAAGGGCTGTGATGGGTAACTCGGGTACTCGGTTCAGGTGGGTACTGAGTAGGACCTGGGTACCCACAGGACTGACTACCCGGACCCATGATGAGTCATGTGATATATTGTTTAATGACAAACATTATATCTGGAACTTCATGGTTACACTACAAGTCACTAATGTTCCCATTACTTTCTGACTATGCATTCCTTCCTTCTGACTTTTATATGGTTGAATAATGATCAGGTTTCAGTCAACTTTAGTGTATGCATGACCAGATCATTTTATAGTGTACCTAAATACTTTGTGCCAGGGGTCTGGTCAAACAATTCCCAATTGCACATTTTGTACCCATCTCTTGAGAACTACAGCGGGTACCCAGGTAGGGTCGGGTAATAGGGGGTTGGGTACTGGGTAGTAAATTTGGACTCGTCGTCCTAGCCCTACATGAATTGACATGATTAATTCTTTGAATGAGTTGTGTTTCTTGCAAATATGTTTTGACCCAAAAAGTTATGCAGTTAACAGAATGTGCATTTTTTGAAGTAATTCACTCACAGTTTATAGTTCCCTTCTCTGTTAAAGATACATTACGTAGCTGTGGGTTTGAACCCAGATTCACCCAGTTATGACAACTGCTTGGCAATAACACATCCATTCTCTCCATGAGCCAAACTCGCTCGCTCCCTCCCTCACGATATATATATGTTATGATTCAGTCATGATTTGTTATTACAGTGAGTGTGAGTGAGATGGGTTTAACGCTGCTTTTAACAGTATTCCAGTTATATCACAGCGTGTCAGCTTAATGTGGGAGGAAAGCCCGAAGTGATGCAGCTCTCACTTCGGTGAAACCCATGAGCACGGGTATGGTGCTGACAAACCTAGAAACATAATCGGGGCAAACTTATTACCACATCCTTCAACACATCATTATGTCCAGTATTAAACAGTTACAGAACCGACTCCCTCCCTCCTTTCTGCTCCAAGATGAAGACGAGGCATTGTCAGCGGCTTCTAAAGGAATCAATGGCGAGTTTGTCGAGCTCCCGGCAAAGGAAGAAGACACCATATTCAAAGCTGTCCGACTTAACGATGTCAACAAGATGAGCATGATGCTGCGACACGGAACTGATGTCAACATGGTTCACATCGGTCAGTAGTAACAAGGATCTTTCGTACCATGTCAGGGGGATCAGACAGAGATCTCTTGTCATGGGTCACATGTTACAGTCTGCTTTGTTCGAATCTTATGGTCGATACATCTTGTGTTTTGGGGTCTTGTCTGTCAAATATGGCTAAAGGGCAAGTAAAGTCAACACAGCAAATTTGCAGATTTTAATACTTTATGACATACTTAATCACAAATGCTTGACCAAAATTTAGTTTGAAAAACGGAATAGTGTAAAACAAGGGATCTGGAAATATTTTTTGGCCTATCAGACTTTTGCATTTTGGCCACGCCCACCTCATATCTGAGGTGCTGGATGTTCATGCATTAATAAAAGAATAAAGTCGTGTCACTTTCATAATATATATACATGATATACATGTATATACAATTAATTAGCAATTCAATGACACATTGATCTAATATATACAATTTCAACCTTTTGGGATGTTGGTTTTACTAACTAGGCTATTGAACGGTTTCCACTGTATAGCTGTTGGTTGCGTCTAGCCTTCCAGCGTCGCATCGTCGTTGTTGGGTCAAAGTCCGTCAATCTTTGTCCACGAAGCGATATACACATAAATCTGTCCAGTGTCTCCGTCATTAATCTACATCTCAGTAGGTTTTGAGGTTTATGAGGTTTTGTTTTGAAAATCCCCTTTCACATTCTATACTGGACACTGGCAGTCCACAACTGATCTCCATGAAACAGACAATAAAAAAATTTAAAAATCCCCTTTGGGGAGGTTGGAACGGGTTCCCAGTGTTTGACGGGCTGTGCAGTTTCAACGATCAGACCGGCACTCAGTCTGCATGGTTTATTGGGAATCTTCCTACTTGTCCAGCACCTATTGTTAGAGGAACAAAACCCTCCAACCATGGTAATTGGTAATTAAGACAATAGGGACATGCACATACACTGTACTGAGTGAAACCTTTTACAATATATATCAATGAGTGAGGGAAATATTAATGATATGATTTAGGCTATTAGTATTAAAGGAATTACACTTACAGACAAGAAACAGTATTCCACTGGCAAATGTGCCGATTTCTAAGAGGACTTGGTTCTAACTTGTTTGTTTTTTCCAAATACAAGTTAATGATTAAGACCGGACTTCAAACTTCCTTTCACTGGACATGTTTCACCATTAACTATGGGCAGCCATTCTCTGAAAAAATATAAAGTTGAAATAAAGGACAAAAGTACACAATAATAGTCAAATGTTATGAATAAAGAATGAATGTTACAAGTAAAGGTCATTATTTACATACAAATAATGAACTCAAAATATAAAACGATACCAATGAACAACAAAAGACGTCATATTTCAAGAAAGAACAATGTGTACTAAAGTCAGTCAGTCAGTGCACAAAAAGGACACTGAACTGCTAGAAGACAATGTTGACAATAAAGAATGCCATGATGATCATCACCATCATCATTCATGTAGATTGTGTTGCTGTACTGCAGGTGAGGCGTGCATAGTGAAGAGTCCCTCCCTGTTCCGCAACATCCAGATGAAGAGGTACTGCCCGCTCCACGTGGCCGTGCTGCACTCCAACATGGAGGTGAGGACTCTGCCTAGGAGAGGAAAATGTTTCAGTGTTAACAATACATCACAGCTTTGTGTGCACTACATTCATCCAATGCCTGTGAATACATGGACATGGGCCTATATGCTGTGTTATTCACTATAACGAATCAAGCAACAGTCTTTTTCCAACACGACCAGGGAGCGCTCAGTCTACATTGCACAGCAATGTTTCTCGTGTGAAATAGTGTTCCATAGTCTTGTGAATTTTTTCACAGAGTAGGTGCATTTGACTTCCATGATTTATGCACAACCTTATTTCATTAGCTGACCAAAACTAGACATGTCACCACGATGCCACATTCAAGGGTGATGGAGGAACATACTTACTAGCAATGTTATTGGCAATGTGTGTAGAGTGAAATCTTAATGACTCTTTAACTCCATTAACTTGTAGTATTTATTTGAATTATGGTCCTGGCACTATGGACTTATATTGTTTTTATTTAGATGTTTGTAGAACTATGGCTCTTTAATTATGGCAAACTGTGATAGAACTTTCCGATGACAGCTTGTGCTAAAACCTCATGAGTCCATGAGCCAGGACATGTCCCTTGGACTCATTATTATGAGATGTTACTCTGAACATTTGAACTGTTATTAATTAAGATAGCTTTAAACATGTATACTCAGGCTACACAAGTCCAGATCCATTGTTTGAAAAGGGAGGGGTCCAAAATATCAAAATCCTCTCTCAGATAATTTTACTGCCAACAACATACTACGTTTGGTTTTCAAAAGGGTGGCGTCTGGACCCCCCTCTTGATCCCCCTTCTGGATCCACCTATGCTACAGACTTTTCTACTTTTGAAGGTAACATTAAACTAATCATGGATGCATAATACCTATATTTTGTTGCATCAGACAATCAAAGTTCTGTGTTCCCATGGCGCTGACCTGAACATAAAGGATGGAAACGACCGGACCCCCATCTACCTCGCCTCCGCTGCCGCCAGACTGGATGTTGTTAAATACCTCATAGACAAAGGTTGGTGGGGACTGTAGGCTGTTGACTGTACACTTTGTTGTACCCGGGGGGATTCTGGGTTAGAACTGATCCCTACCTGGTCTGGTTTTAAGAGGCACCAAAATGGATTAGGTGGTCAGACTTGTTGACTTGGTCAATTGTGTTTCATCGTACCCCGATGGTATGGATCATTGCTCACATTATCAATCACTGAATTGCCTGGTCCAGACTTGTTTATTACCCTGCCTACAGGCTGCCATCATATAGCTGGAATATTGCTGAGTGTATTAGAGGTAGGAGACCTGTCCAGGAGTTGAGCAACCAAGTGAGTGAGTGAGTATGGTTTTACGCAACTTTTAGAAATATTCCAGCAATATCGCGGTAGGGGACACCAGAAATGGGCTTCACACATTGTACCCATGTGGGGAATAAAACCCGGGTCTTCGGAGTGATGAGCGAGCGCTTTAACCATGAGGCTATCCAACCACCTGTCAGCTTTTGTAGCAACAGACCTGATGATATGATTAATGTTCAGACTGTCAGCAGTTGTTCAGACATTTTAGTACTTGTGAGAGTCAGTTATCAGAAGCTGGAGATCTCTTAATTTTGTATTAGTGCAATAATCTTAAATGACGACAATAAACCCCTTTTATTACCTACGAGGGCAAACATATCAGTGTTTATAAAAATCATTTGTGCCGGAGGGTCATATAACGTCACGAGACAACAGTCTATTGTTGACGTCCTTCAAATCTTATTGTGACGTGAGGTCAGAATGATGTCACACTACAAACAATGTCCTAGCTGATTGTTGACATCATTCGACGAATTGTGGTTGCTTTGCTGATGCGACTTGCTGTCCTTATGGGTAAACACTAAATTTGTCTCTGTATGTAGACGTCTTTTTTGGTAATAAATAGAACATTGTATTTGCTCTCGCTTGGGAAATACCGGAATCTAGACACTCGTGTCGTAAGCATAGTATGACATGAACACTCCTATAATATCCTCTATTTCACCTGATGTGACCAGGTGTGGATTTGGATTGTCAGACCAGCAGCAAGCGGTGTGCTCTCACGGAGGCCGTGTGCCTGAATCGCCTGAATCTGGTGGATGCCCTGATCAAGGCAGGGGCGGACCTAGAGCTGGAGGACATCAAGGGCACAACAGCACTGGGGCACGCCGTGATGCAGCTCAGGGTCAGTATCAAGGTCGTCAACCGACTAGTGGAAGGTACGAGCTTAATGATCTTCTTTGTTTACATTCAAGGGTTTTAAAAGGATTCAGGATTGAAAAGTTTTCAGGGATTAAGTTTTCAAACTCCACATTGATTTATGATTCTACCATGATAAAATCTGGAATTGAATATTTTCTAAACTGAGGTTTTGCAGTCATCAACTAAATCATGGTCTAACATTTTCATTACTTGAACAGGATGTAGGACTTGAAAATGTCATGTGACAGCACGTTAAGAAGTGTTCATTAGTAAGTGCTTCTATCATGACAAAAGTTGTTATCATCATGAACTGAAGGTCCATTTCAATGGCCAAGTTACATTTCCAGTAGCCAGAGGCTAGCATTATGTTTTGACACTTATTCACATCCTGATAGGATGGACAGAGACTAAGTAGTGTGCTGTCATTGCTCCTCGGGTGTGGCAGGGACCAACTGTGCTTGTTGTCTCCGATAACAGGAATTCACAATTGCATTTAAAATGTCAATCTCTCAGAGGTATGACCTCCTTTCCAACCAACTCGTCGCTACGATCCAAAGACATTATGCTTATCTCAACAACACAAGCTGTAACGACTTATGGAAAAAGATCCTTCAAATATGCAGCAGCTTCATTGTGGAATGACCTACCACTGGAAATATAACAATGCTAAAAACATTCCTTTTTCGACAGGCTTTCCCCTAAACTGTTTCTTGACTCGGACTCTTCCAACAAGCGCGCAGAGCATACTTTATTGTATGAATGTTATTATTATTGTAGTGACAATGAGACTGCCTGTATCTACAGATTGCAGATTATCATTAAGGGGTTAAGTTCACCATATTGTATTATTTTTTCAGCGGGCTGTGACGTCAATAGGAGAACGCAGAAAGGTGCAACTCCCCTCATGTTTGCAGTCAGCTTGAAGAAGCTGGACAAGATCAAAGCCTTGATAAAGGCTGGCGCTGATGTTAATGCAGTGAGTAGCAAGACAGGGCAGTCGATCTTTGCAAAAGTTTAGAAATCTGTTCACATTTAAATTGAAGAGGGCAATAATAGGGCACTTAATAGTGATTGAGTGAGTATGATATTAAGCCGTTTTAGCAATATTCCAGCAATATCATGGTGAGGGACACCAGAAATGGGCTTCACACATTGTACACATGTGGGGAATCAAACCTGGGTCTTCAGCGTGATGAGCGAACACTTTGACCACTAAGCTCCACTGCCATGGTGAAGGGGATACTTCTTTTTATGTGGTACTTGCAAACAGTTTTATAGTTTTACTATTGTCTTGGTAGACAAATATCTGATCAACAAATAATTAATAATGTTGTCTTCAATAGTGCCATGAAACACAATATAACATATAGAGGTTAGTTTTGTTCATCCCACTTCTGTGATGTGGCAAAAAGTGTGGAGTATCTGTTCCTGTAATGAAATTATTCCTTTGTACTATTTATTCTCATTGAACAGTTTTTACAAACCTTTTCCATGATACATTTACACTGGCAATATTTGTTCACCATTCAACATTTTCATCCAAGTTCCTCCATGTTCCAGGTAGACAGCGGTTGTGTAACACCATTTCACCTGGCTACCAATGATGGACAGAGTGTAAATATTGCCAAACTCCTCCTTCAAAATGGTGCTCACCCAGATCTGAAGGATAGATTTGGTAAGTTCTATACAGTCATATAAAACAGCTAATTCAATATATAAATGACCCATGAAGGTCTGGATTAGAAAAGGTCTTCAGTAACCCATGCTTGCCGTAAAAGGTGACTATGCTTGACGTAAGAGGCGGTAACGGGATCAGGTGGTCAGGCTCGCTGACTTGGTTTGATGCATATTATCTTATTCCAATTGTGTAGATCGATGCTCATGACATCAATCACTTGATTGTCTGGTCCAGACTTGATTATTCACAGAATGTGCCCTTAAGTTGTTGTGGATATTTTGTACACCTGTTGTTTCTCCTCCATGGCATCTGCACCCAACATTAAATACCAACAAAGGAATATCTGTGTTCTGCGTGGGTATTCTTTTGTTAAAAAATAGATACTCTCCGAATAGAGGTGGTAAAGAAATCAAATTAAATCATAAAATCATTAAATCACATCTGATTGGCTAAGGAACCCAGGAATCCTTCATTTAGATTAGCTGGTCAAAGGTGGCTCAGGGTTCTGTAACCAGGATATTTTGATATATACATCTTGATATATATATTTCGAATACTAACATGTTATGAAATTCTGTAACTCAGAATTTCATATTGATTTTGTTATTGGAAATGTATAACAAAGGATAACAAGGACCTCTGAGTATAGCTCATAAATAATTCTATTCCAAGGTGTTTTCACAGCTGCAACTACTGGAACAAAGAGACATGACTCTTTTCATTTTTGGCACTGGTAAAAATAGAGAAAGACAAAGAGAACAAAGAATTAGGATTATAGTATTTTGTTAGTTGTCAGAGTTTGGAGAGTCAGTTCGAGATCCCCACTGACCTGAGAGGTCCTCTCTAAAGGGTCCTCAATTCAAAGTGATACGTTCAGATTCAAACTGGAACACTACTGTGCTTTCATTACATCATCTGGCTGTGTGTTGTGTTATTCTGGAGATATTAGCAGGCAACAAGAACATGTCTGAGGACTATTGTGTGACATATTCATTCTATAATAATGGAATTGAATGACAACCCTGAGGTATGATTTGAGTGAGCTACATCACCCCTGGACGAGAGTATAGTAAAATCATTTTACTTGGGGGTGGAAGGCTAACATCCAACCGCACGTGCTCCGGGTAATAGTTCTCATGGTGGTGTCCACAGATCTTTACTCAGGAAGGTATCATGTCGGGGCAAAGAGTAACTAGCAACATGGACATATGACAAATACTTGTAAAGAGAATACAAACTAATCTCCTGTCGATGTTGTTCCTGTGCAGGTAGAACGCCTCTAGACAATGCTGTGGCTCAGGGCAAGCTCCGAGTGCTGCAGCTGCTGCTGATGGCTGACTGTGACAGAAGCTACAGCCTCCTCACCAGTGAAGCTGTCCAGATGCTGTGTGACCGGGTCCCTGTGTTCCGGGACTGGCTCTACAAGGAGATGTACAACCCGAAAAGTCTGAAACGACTTTGTAGAGGAAGTTTACGTCACTCGCTCACACTGAAGGGGCTGACAACCATAGATGAACTTCCATTACCTCAAACACTGAAAGACTTCCTCTTGGTCAGATATTATGATTGAACTGTTACTCAACGTGTTCACTACTCTGTATGTGGACAGTACAGAGTTGGAATCAAACGGGCAGGGTAGAAAAGAAAGAAACAACGGGTATATTATTTTGACTTGACAAGGAAATATTGAAAGCAAATACTACTCCTTCAAATACTGACTTGTAACGTTCTTCTTTCCAAACCTTTTGATATTTGCATCAATTGCACATGAGGTGAGGTGAAATTGAGTTAAATGTTGCATTCAAGATTATTGCACTTATTGCCGGTTTTATTGTGCTATCCCACTGAGATACCATGCCACAGTTTAACATGGATACCCCACTCAGGCACAGTATACTGATTCCAAGCTGACCAGTCCTTGTTTAATCCCCTTAATGCCAAGCACCTGGCAGGGAAACAACAAGTACCATCTTTTAACGTCATTGGTATGATGCAGTCAGGGTTCGAACCACCGATCTTCTTTCCATGCAGACACTGTGTCTGTGTCTGTGTCTGTGTCTGTGTCATGCATCAGTTAGAGATTAGCTTGACCATGACAAACCATCCTGTAAGTGAGTTCAAACAAAAACATCCAAAGTATATAAATTTGAATGCAAAACATTTAGTGAATGCAGTAAAAAACAATAACATATCAAAATTGCATGAGTTATGGCCCTTTGAAGGTACTTTCAATCAAGTGTGAACGGAAGTTGATTGTTGAAACATGCCCACACACACATACATGCACACACATACACATGCACTTACATACAGTCACATATATGCACACACATGCACACACACATTCAAATGCACACAAACAAACGGATACACACACACACGTTTGCATCTTCTGAAATATCATGAACAAGAACAATGGATGGTATCATAGCAAGTTATGGGCTGAGCACCCATGACAAAATGTCCAAACAAACAAACAGAAGGTAAAACTGCAAGAGTTACTTGCCTTTGTGGAAAATTTTGGTCAACATATGCTTCATTCTGCATTACTTAGGTCTTGTACTTTTGCTTTGTACCTGTTGAATTTTGTGGTGTAATTTCCTTATGATGTTGCGTTGTGAAGCATTTATGTTTTGTTTTGACATCTCAGTGTGAATGTTGAGTCAGGTCATAAGAAGATGTTTTGTTTTGACATCTCAGTGTGATGAATGTTGAGTCAGGTCATAAGATGTTTTGTTTTGACATCTCAGTGTGAATGTTGAGTCAGGTTATAAGAAGATGTTTTGTTTTGACATCTCAGTGTGATGAGGTCTTGATATGATATGTTTTGCAATGCAGTCACCCGTCGATTTACTGTGAAGTATGCATGATTTTTTTAGGAAATAATCTTGAATGAATTTTCTATGTATGTTTTTTTACACAAACACCATAGAATTTTGTGGCTCAATTTCTTTTAAGTCATGCGGGTTTGAAGCTGTTTCTGGTGGGTTAGCTTTAAGTTAAATATCTAGATTTTTCTGTTTAATTTAGAAAGGATTTTAGGATTCATTGATGGATTAATATACCGGAGACAAGATGATCAAAGACTGGAGATTCATAAGTGTCTTTCCACTGTCCAGAAGGACTACGCTGAACAGAGTGGTGCTCATTGCAAGTCTGGGTTCAGATGCTGTGCCTTTATGAAACCTTGTGTCTGTGTACCCAGGGCTTTCATTCACTACTAGATTGATATGCAATAGAGTAAGTGATTGAGTATGATTTTACGCTGCTTTTAGCAATATTCCAGCAATATCATGGCGGGGGACCCCAGAAATGGGCTTCACACATTGTACCCCTGTTTGGAATCGGGTCATCAGCATGACAAGCGAATGCTTCAACCACTAGGCTACCCAACTGCCCAAATATGCAATAGAAGATTTTATGTTCTCGTTAGTGGACAATGTGTTGCACAACTGCAATCCCAATTGCTAGAATTATCAATTGTCTGGAGATTAGTTCCTTTTAAAATGTCAGTTGTGGAATGTAGGCTAATGTAAGAAACTGATATGTTTGGGTAGTGGGCGCCATTTCTCATTTGCTCTCAGTCATATTTCCAGATCTGATGTTGTTTTCATGATATGGTATAAACAATATATGCAATTCAGTGCAGACAGTTATGTATATTAGAAACAGTTTCTGACTTGTAATTTTCCTTTTGATTTGTTATTATATATCAATAGAGAGGGTATAAAAAGAGCTTTCATTTGATATGTATCATGTCTATGTGTCACAATATCAAAGACAGTTATGTTTTGAAATATGACCAATAGTGCATGGGAAATGGTTGCCATCACAAAAGTGATATCTTTGGATGATTTTAAACATGGGTGCCAACATTCTTCCTACTATGTTCTTAAACCTTTAATTTGTTACATCAGTAGGGCCTGTGCGGTAATCCTAGATCATATACAAAATGTTTGGAGTAAACTCTGTTTACTGGTCAGGATGAGCAGGTTGCGAGGCACTGGCAGCTGAAGGCAATCTGTTTGCTCAAATGGACAGCGTGAATACTTTATAGAATGTATAACTTCATGTCATGTATTGTGGGAAACTATTTTTCAACAAAGCTACTTGATTGTGATTTACTGACCGAAAAATGATCCCAATTTTGTCTTTCATTGGCTGCATTGTGTTACTGGTTTCCTTGTCAGATTCCTGGTTAGAAATGTAAATATGTTGAGTAGTTTTGAATTGATATTAGGAAGCAAATTTTTAAAAATGACACATATTGCCTGGGACAGTGCAAAGGCATTTGACAAAATGGCACTCCCTGTGAACAACAGCTAAAAATAGTATCTGAAACACAAATAATAACTGTCACATGATGAAGCTGTTATAGCAGAATGAAGCCTCGTATCTTATTGCAGCACATGATACATTCATCTGATTCATGTTTTGTTTGTTATATATGGCTTGCCATGACAGATACCTATAGTAATATGAACAACTCGGGTGTTCCTTAACTTCTTTTGAGTAGTATATCTCAGTTTAATATTGGAGTAGGTGATACAGGTGATTTACGGTAACCACTTTGGTGAAACGCACAAGTACTAGTTCGGTAAAGAATCAGGTCAAACATGGGATGAGCAGATCTTGAAACCATGCGCACATGTATATGAAATATACTACTCAACTTTTGACGGGGTTAACGAGATGTCATTCTGATTAAAAAAACACATGACATGAGAATCAGTTTTGAGTATCATGGGAAAATAAAGATATCCCTATCAAAGGTGGAGTAGCATACTATGCAATAATGTAGCTGATTTTGTTGTCCTTGCACAACTTGTGCACCTTTATGTGATTACTTTTTAAGGGAGACTGAATCTGTTTGGTCTTGTCGACAGTTCATTGAAGCTGTAAGACATAAGTTGATTTAGTTGCTAGATGTCCCTACTCAATCTCATTCAAATCAGATCAAGTGCACAGAGCGTACTTTACTGTGAATGTTGGTGCGATATGAGTGTATATATTATTGTTATTATTATGTTAGTGCTCACTACCACAACACATAGATCAGAGGACAACCCATTACAGGTCACGTCAGAACGACCTTTCATCCGACCAATCAGAGCATTGCTTACAAGATCACAAAATGTGTTTTCTAGTCATGCGACCTTGTAACGGTTAACGAGACATGCCGGATGACATAAAATCGTCTTTCCCTTGCTTCAATGGGATAAACATTTGAAATTGAAGAGACTTTTCATAGCTCAGGGGAAGTACTGCCATACAATCTTGGCCATCTATAAGACATCTATTAGACATTCAAGACATTTTGTTTGTTAATTTTTCAAATTTTGTCCAAATATTTTTTCAAAGTGTAGTCCGGAATGGAAGTCGCCAGTTTCGAAACTAGTGAAATAAAGCTTGAGGAAGCTGTTTTCTGATTGACTTATCAACTTCCTGTCAGCCATTTCATTGGTCAGTCAAAGTTCGCGAAAAGTTGTTCTGCCATAACCTGTAAAATGGGATGTCCTCAGATCTTTTCGTAGCAGTAGCAAGCACTAAGATCTGATTTTAATGAGATTAGTCTGTACTTAACTTTGTACTGTCTGTACTGCATATTGAAGTACACTTACAGCTTGATGGATGTTTTGACAGGACCCCTGTGCGGAGTGCTCACAGAAATACCACCTCACCAGTTATCCTGTTATTAAATGTAAGCGAGTTTGGTTTAACGCCACCCTGAACTGTATTTCAGGTATATCCTGGCGTGTCAGCTTGGTGTGGGAGGGAAGTGATGCAGGATGTTTATCAATTTGATGAAACCCACCAGCACTGGTGTGCTGACAAACCTAGAATAGAAATAATCAGGCAAACGGGGATCAAACCCATGACCATAGGTTTCTGGATTGCCTAAATATAGCACCTTACACGACTGTATATAAATGATGTTGTTATGTATTTGTTATATAATAACTGTTTTAGTGTACATTGCTTATGAGAATGTAGAATGTAAAGACAATATTTTTATTATTGTATTTCAGTATCCAAACATGTAGTAACTTGCAAAAATACCATTTAGTTACTGTAATCCAACAATAAACCAGAGTATTTTCAATTGACCATGTTTCATCATATTTGTCATCTTCCCCAGGCAAGGGCATTAAGTGACTTAAATATTAGTAAAATTATGATTGTCCTCACAGTGACCGAACATACAATGTTGTTCACTCAGAAACTCATGTATCAAGATTTATTGTCCTACAGTAAATTGAGTTTGAGCAATAAACAAACATTTCTTCAGGCCATGACCTTGACCCTTGTTATGACAGTGACAAAAAAAGACAAACTTAAAAGCCTCCCCATTTACACTTGGCTGCTAAATTGTTAACAAAGAAGTACTGGTATGTAAGTCTTTTATTTGGTATTTCAACTCGATTTATCAAGATAACACTGGAAATTATACACATTTTCTGGGTTGTTTACTGAATCTCCATGAAAATACGGGGTAGAATACGTCTTCAGCAACCCATGCTTGCCGTTAAAGGCGACTATGCTTGTCGTAAAAGGCGACTAACGGGATCGGGTGGTCAGGCTTGCTGACTTGGTTGATGCATATCATCGTATCAAAATTGCTTGGATAGATGTCAATCACTGGATTGTCTGGTCCAGACTTGATTATTTACAAACAGCCGTCATAAAGAAGGAATATTGCTGTGTGCAGCGTTAAACTACAAACAAACTACTGAATCTCCATGCCACTTCTAAAGTATACTGGAGTTTCTTCCCCAGTTGAGTGACTGAACACAAGTGTATATAACCCGTAACAGCCTAGCACAGATAACATCTCTGACCAGTGAGGTGTAAATTCTCATGACTTGACAAGCACATGTGTATGCCCCTCCTGTAAAATAGGGGGGAGGTGTGCTGAATTGCAAGCCTCTGGTTAGACATGCTCTTGTGTCTGTAGTAAAAGAGGCAAAGAATCCCCCAGTCATGCCAGGTATAAATATGCTGTCAATAGAAGAGATTGATGTAACCTTGACACACATATACAAGACACTGGAAAAATGAAGGGGTGTTGCGCAATAGACGTGACAAGGAGGGGGAATTCTCGGGACTTGCTTACTCCGTCTCTCACATGTGTCAATCATGACTCACTCCCAGAGGTAAAAAATGTATCTAAAGAAGCTACCTTTTGTTTAAAAGTCATGATCTTCATGTAAACAGTCTATCCTTTTACATATGTGGTCGAGTTATACAGACAATTCCCTTTAAGGCAAGATATGTCTTGGTTTAACCTTAGGGGAACAAGGCTCCATGCATGTGTCTATAGAAAACTACCCTTTCTTTAACTGTCATGACTGTATTATGGATAAAAACCTTCACATGCATAACAGTATACCTTTTAATTTTTAAACATTTTAAAAATTCACTTGTGAGGGTCGACTTTAACTAGCCTACAGTCCTAATACAAAAATACCAGTACCCATACAATAAATTATTATTGATATTTTTCTGGTTCACTCAATATTTTGTGAAACCTTTTTTCCATGATCTTTTATTCTGTTGTTCAAACTGGTAACAAGGAAATATTGTTAAGAATTATTCAAAAGTAATAATCCCCTGATTTGGATTATCAATAAAGTCTTTGTTCCCATGTCTGGTTATAAAAAAATAAATATATCCATGTTTACTTGTTCTAGAATCCATGTTAACAGACACTGAGAAATATATGTTTGTAACATTCCAAATGATTAACTCCGAAGAGGTTTTATATTATGATTGATGGCCTTCTAACATACTAATATTAATATACATGCAAGTACACCCAACCAAGTTAATTTCCTAATGATATTGATGCTGGATACTGAATAATTGACTTACATCAGATCTCTGAAATGAAAACATTTTACAGAGAGAAACAGTTATTAAATTATTTCAATAAAATATAATGAAAAGAAGCCAAGAGACACTTCATTTTCAGAAACTGCAGGAATCTAGACTTGCCAACTATTATAGACTTACATATGACTACAGTTTGAATAATTCCAACAGGTCTTTAGATATTCTTATAGATATTTATTTTTTATTGAGTACGTTAGGTAGTATATGACCAGGAGTTAGGAAGGTAGAATTAGAATGTGCTAGAATTTTCCCAACCACGTGATGGAAGACCAGTGATTGTGAGACCCTGGAAGAACATTCTATAAGTTGAATTCAAGTGTTAACGCACAGGCATTTTGGTTTACAGGGAGGACATGTCAAAGTTTCTAAGACTGACGGCTGTGTTGTTTCTATACCCTTTCTCTCTCAGTATTTTTTCAGATGTTATCGTGAGATTCAATATAATAACACTCAGTTTTGGGCATGTCTAATGGATAGTTTAACAGACAGGCTGAGTGATTTCACAACCATTATCAATGTGTGTCAGCTTGATGTGGGAGGAAAGCTCAAAGTGATGCAGGTCTTCAACATTTACCACTTCGACAAAGCACATAAGCATGGGAATGGTGTTGTCATACCTAGAAACACAATCAGGCCAAACTGGGGAATGAATCCCACACCATAGGTTTCTGGCACACCCAAGGGATGCAAGCAAATTGAGGTGCCTAGATGACTGGGCCACCCATGCCCTCAACCAGCTAAAAACGTGTAATACTGCAACAACTACATAAATCTTATTACTGACTTAAACAGTTTGGATCTGTCCCTTGACATCACAGGCAGTACCATGCATCTCCAGGCTACAGCTGGAGATTTGGAAGCTGGAACCTTCTGTATAAAGGCCTACTGTAGTAGGCAGGATAATTACACTGTCAAACCAGAATGAACATGATCAGAACGATGTGCAAATATATGTCTCAGGAAGTTTGTTCGAGGCATAGTGACTTTCTACTTTGATGTCTGGTTGCATTCATCAAACATTTTCCATAGTGTCCTGCAATCTTATTACCAGTGACATACACATCGTCTTAACAGGCATTCAGAAGCTGCAGCCTCAATGAAGACAAGGCTGGTTGGAAGAATAAAACTTGAAGATGAAATCAATAAGTCTTCATCTAAATTGTAACCAAACAAGGTCAAAGTGGTATGTGTTTATTAAACACAAACAATAATTTAACACACTTTGGAGAATTGCTGGAATTTTTGTTCAGATTTTCCACAAGTTTTTTCCTTATAATAAACTAGTAACAATAAGGCAGAATTCAAATGAATTTTTTTTGAAATACAGCATGCAATCTTTGAAACAGGAACTCCTGTTGCAGACTCTGTTACCATGGTTACAATGGCAAATGATGGTTTGACATCTAACATATATGTAGCTTTCCTTCAAAGCAGATAAGACATCATTCATGTCCAAGGTTGTAAACCTGAAACATTTCTAAGCACTTTCTACTACAAGCTATCCTGCATACCAAACGGCTTGATTTGATGATTCCAGTTAAGTGTTTACAAGTAGTGAGTGAGGTCATGCATGCACATCGCTATGTAAGTGCAATAATCTTGGACGTGACGTTATACCTCATTACACCTCATTAATGTCTGGCCTTTTGTCCACAATATAACACATCCCAGAACACAAGGCAAGGCCATCACCTTTCCAGCTGTGGCTATGGAAACCGTTTTGTCGCTCTTATTTACCTTCTTTGTTTGTGATGGTGTCAAATGTTTCCATTGTTTTGATTGTTGTGGCGACCCTGTGAAGGTTCGATCTAGTCATAAATCGTTGCATACTCTCTTGATTGCCTCAGTGATTAAGACAAACAGATCAGGGACCAGAATTTATTTAGGAAAAGAACTTCGATGACCGGGATTTATTTCTCTCACAATAACATACAGCCTGGCCATTTCTCTCATGTCGAAAACATGTCATGTAAGTTATTAAATTCACACCAAAAGTAGAGATGATGGTATTTCGTCTACACACCATCCATTCTCCTTCTCCTGAGGAGGAATCCATTTGCTTGTTCGACTTGTCTGTGAGTAACAGACGCTTGAAGAGCTCCAGCTTAGAAGGGTAGGACTTAGTTTCTGGTTCCAAGCCATTTTGTGTCATCTTGCAATCAATGTAGTGCCTCCACTGATGCCCTGCTCTACAGTACTTCTGCTCTATATATGCTTTCAGGTACTCTACAATACAGCACCTCCTTCAATATAGTACCCCCCTGCTATATAGTCATGTATAGTACCCTCTACTTTCTTCTTCTTTTTTCCAGGTTTCTTCAAGTCTGGAGTTGGTTGTGCTTGACCTGTGTAGAAAATAATAAATTAAAAACATGATTTTCTCACATGGGCCCACAAGGGCCCATTATATTGTTTCTTTCTCTTCAATTTCATGGACCCATATATATTCAGAGAGAGTGAATTTAACAGTACTCCAGTTATTAAGCATGTCAGTTTAATGTGGGAGGACAGCCTGAAGGGACGCAGGTCTCAGACATTTACCACTTTGCTTTGGTGAAACCCAAAAGGTGGGGTATGGTGATGACAAACCTAGAAACATAAACGGGGTGAACAGGGATTCAAACCCACAATCATATGGTTCTGGTGTGCCCGAAGGACACAACTCAGCTAACTACGGCGCCTTAGAAGACTGGGCCCTGTGAGTCCCCCCACCATATATATTCAAATCAATCAACATTGTCAATTTACATGGGTTTGTATAAACGTTCCACTATTTGTTTGACAGGCATTTCAATTAAGTTGACACATGACTAAGTCAAGCTTGACAACGGCATAAGGATCTATACTGAAACATCGCCAATACAGTAAGATGAAGATGTTATCATCCATAAATTGTGTCTCCTTTGTTCCACTATCACCTGAGAATATATATGGCCGGTTAGTGGTGCAGTCACAACTCTTACCAACAAATCAAGTGACGGCCTAGTTTCAGCGAGAGGGCAACCAGCAAGTGCTCAGACCAATAAGTGCTCAGATTACATTGCACAAACAGCAATATTACTCTTACAACATGTGCCATAGCTTTGCAACCATCTAATCTACACACTGCTTCAAAATCAGGCAATGGCAGGATTGCACACAGCTCATGCATGGAGTAGATCTCACTGGACTTCCATGAGAGTTCCACGGCCTATCATCATGACTTGACTTACAATAGACACTCATTACCAGAGCTACAGATCAGCGGCGTATTTGTGTAAAATAACCACCCAAAATATTCAAAACCCAATTACTTTCAATTAACTTGCGTTAAAAAATGCATGCATTAAATGAAAAAGTCAAATGTATTAAAACAGCATGTGTAAATACCCAATGAAGTTTTTTCAGCATGTGTACAAAGTAGTTAATTTCCGAAACACAATTTATAATACCAGCTAATTTACTTTCCAAGTCAAGCCTTTATATTTGGAACAGCTATATACATGTAAAACATTATTTAATTTTTTTTTAAATCGTAAAATATTCACTAATTATGGGAAAAACCCAATAGAGTGATGAATAGATGAGCGAAAACATATTGGTTACCCAATGAAAAATGTAATAACCCAATTAAAATAGAAACCCTAGAGTAAAAACTCAATTGTTCAAAAAGTTATCTGGAGTTCTGCATTACTACTATACCGCTTGTGTATTCACAACGGTGGTGCAAACGTTGTGAATACAAACCCACCATGTGTTGACCAGGATCAATAGGTAGCTCTGTTTAACTTTCAAGATGAAATGGCTCACCACAATTTGTGCTGGGATGCCTCGGTTTGTTCAGACATGAAATATGGATCCCCTCCTGTATTGTTGCATCACTGGTCAAACGGGGTCTCTTGCCATTTCTGTTGCTGGTAATGGGAAGCTGGGTACTTGAAGAATCAGCAGGTGTCTGTCCGGCTTGGCTTCCTTGTGACTGAAAACAGAAGAAGCACCACACATGAAAGAGAATCTTCATGTCAGGGAGATGTTTGGCCCCAAGTCTTCAGCAAATTCATTAAATATTCCCAAAATGGAATGTAAAGTTTCCAATTTATGTTCATATACATAACAGCTAATTTTATGGCTTGTAGAAATAACCTGTTTTTTCCTGATAACAGGAGAAATACATAGGAAGAGGTTGTAATGCTTAGTTAATGTTATCGTATTGAATGCAATCTCCAAGAACAATGTTAAAATAATCCTAACACAGCCTCTGAATTTACGGGGGTAAAAGAACTTTAAAAAATCAAATATTTAACAAAATAATGATTTTTCCAAATTTGCTAGTCAGGGGCACTTGGTTGTTGATCATGTTGAAGTGTCTCATTATCTTGTTTACTTCAATCACTTCAATTCTAAAACATGTGCACCCTTGGTGATAATATTAGTGAAAAACAGATTGTTACAATCCGGAATGAATCTGGAGGGCCCAAATAGTAGATGGTTACCCAGTTATCTCCCCTGTGCCTCTGACACTGGAAAAACTCTTGAAATATTTATTCTCTTGATAAGCCAACCCATTCTCCATCCCCATCCCCTACACCCTACAGACTGATACACATTTATCATCCAAAACTGGCTCCCACAGGAGATATCGCTTGGATTAGATCAAGCGATATCTACACTGTAGATATCGCTGCAATGAAATTACATCACAATGCTTTGCAGACCATTGTGACGTCACTGGTGACCATGACGTCACAATGAAATGACATCACTAATGGCTCTGCTACTGAAGTTGTTAGCATGACTTTTTACACTTAAGACACTGCTGATTACTGTCTACTAATTGAAAAAGTTGGAAGAATGATGTTGGATGATAAATAAAATCTCACCCTCGTGTCTTTTGATATCAAATATATAAAAACTCGTCGATAAAAGTGGCAAAAAACCTCGACAAGCCCCGGAGTTTTTCCACTTTTATCAACTCGTGTTGATATATTTGATATCAAAAGACACTTGGGTGAGATTCTCTATATCTAGACCTCAAGGCTTAGCTTATACTCATCATGCTAATAGACTGGTATACACTGTACATTGTCATCTGCCTGATCCACTGTTTTAGAGATCCTTCCCTCTCTTCTACACTCTTCTTCCTCCAGACCAGAGAACTCTTTCTGCTGGCCAGGGCAGATTTCCTCATGATTATGGTTGTCTTCCTCTAGACCACAACATTCTTCTTGAATAGGGCACTCTTCCTCTTGAATAGGGCACTCTTCTTCTTGACCAAAGCACTCTTCCTTCTGATCAGGGTAGACCTCAGTCTGCAGCTCATCTCTCCTAGAGCATGCAGAGCTTCTATTTCTGCCATCACTGCATTGCTTTGGAGAGGCTGTAGGTTCTCTTGAAGATTTCACATGAATATTCAACTTTGGTCTTTTCATGGCTGTAGACAAATGCTTTGATAAACAATGATACTTCAAGTCACTTAGGTTTTTAAATGTTTCCTCGCACAACTTACATGGGAAATTGGATGCTGTGTCTGTCTTGTCTTGTTCATGGGCATTCTGGCTATGTAAATACTTTCTTGTAAATGCACCACTGGATTTGTGATATGGCTTTGATTCCTGTGTTGGGTGGCTTTGAAGTTTTGAGGTGAGGGGGTTTCCAACATAAAGACACTCTTCAGCATTGACAGATCTTTTTGCTTTGGTTTGATCGTTGTGAGCAGAACTTGAGGAAGATGTACGCTGTGCTGAAGAAGATGTACCCTGTGCTGATGAAGATGTACTCTGTGCTGAAGCAGATGTACCTTGTGCTGATGAAGGCATACGCTGTGCTGAAGAAGATGTACTCTGTGCTGAAGAAGATGTACTCTGTGCTAAAGCAGATGTACCTTGTGCTGATGAAGGCTTACGCTGTGCTGAAGAAGATGTACTCTGTGCTGAAGAAGATGTACTCTGTGCTGAAGCAGATGTACCTTGTGCTGATGAAGGCATATGCTGTGCTGAAGAAGATGTACTCTGTGCTGAAGAAGATGGACCCTGTACTGATGAAGATATACACTGTGCTGATGAAGATGTACCATGTGGTGATGAAGATGTACTCTGTGCTGAAGAAGATGTACTCTGTGCTGAAGAAGATGTACTCTGTGCTGAAGAAGATGTACTCTGTGCTGAAGATGATGTACTCTGTGCTGAAGAAGATGGACCCTGTACTGATGAAGATATATCCTGTACTGATGAAGACGTATGCTGTGTTGAAGAAGATGGACCCTGTACTGATGAAGATATATCCTGTACTGATGAAGACGTATGCTGTGTTGAAGAAGATGGACCCTGTGCTGATGAAGATCTACACCGAGGTGATGAAGAAATACTCTGAGCAGATGAAGATGTACTCTGAGGTGATGAAGATATACTCTGTGCTGATGAAGACATATCCTGATCCGGAAAAGCATCTCCCTCGCTAACTAGAGAACCTTGACAAGAATCAGTATCAGAGGTGTCCATATTTTCATATATGGTGTAATCGAGGTCATCAGACTCAGCATAAGAGTGTTCAGTCTTCACAAGATCTAGGTTCATATTACTTTGGTCTCCTGTAGGACTGAAAGAACCACTTGAAACCATACCAGGATGGTTATTGGATTTATTTGATATTGTTGATCCAACCACCAATTTGGATAACCCCTTTCTCCAGGATTGAACAGTTTTTCCTCCACTAGATGGAGCTGTTTTACATTCATCATTGTCTTCAGGAGAAACACAAGGGTGCTTAGAGAAAGTGCTGCAGCCTTTGTTCTTGACAGTTCTCAAAGAGCATTCTTCTCCAGGGGATTTGTCCACAGGAACACCTGGCAGATGACCACCATTCCCAGTGCTGCCATGGGATTGTCCATGAGACCAATCTAGTAAGGATGACCTGCCTTGCATGTGAGGTATGTGTAAGTTTGTGCTCTTAGACAAGGGATTTGCCAGTGCTGTTGTTGGACTACCTTTCAGGGATTCCACAGATAAAATAATAGGTTTAAACTGGTGGGGAGAGGACAAGGGTGAACCAGCTGGCTGCAATAGTGTGCTATCAATGGCAAACTTCTTTGGGACTTGGGGTCGCTGTTTTGGGACGAGGGGTTGCGGTTTTGGGAGGAGGGTTCGCTGAGTTGGGACATGTGGTTGCTCCTTGGTGTTTGTTAGTTGTGATGTTTCTGACAAACAGGCCTGCTGCAGAAGGTCCGCAGCTCTGGACAACTGGAGAACCTTGAGGGCTTGCTTCACCTTGTCCAGACAGTCCTTGGTAACGACCAGCTCCCCACAGTACAGATAGTCCACCATCAGTTTCAGAACCTTGGACTCAATGTCTGAAAAAAAGGAGTACTGTTCTACTACTGATAATACAACAAATTATCAATAAATGAACCTTACTAAAAACAAAGAGCACAGATGTTATGACTGTGTACCAGTTTGTGCTTGTTATGAGCAAGTATGTTTTTATGCCGCTTCTAGCAATATTCCAGCAATATCAGGATGGGGGATACCAGAAATAGGCTTCACACATTGTACCCAAGTGGGGAATCAAACCTGGGTCTTCGTAGTTACTTGGAGGTAACAGAGGTGAGATCTTATGTGTTATCAGCTACATAGAAACGTGCCTATCATCTGACAACCTATACTCTCAAACATGAACAATTCTTTCTCAGGAAGAAATACATTTGAATGTATACCGGTAATGCTTGAATCACTACACTTCTCCAGCACTCTTTGTAGAAAGAAGTAAGATTACAAGACAAAGTTGATAGTTTTATTCATACCCAGTTTCAATTTGCCTGAGTCAGACATCATGGAATGCTTCATGCTCTGGTTGACTGCTACATGCTGAAGAAAACCTGAATGTGCTGCAAGAACCAGCCAATGAGCTTGAAGGTCAACCCCATCATTTGAGGTCAAGGTCACATCACACAGAACCTGGTCCTTGTACAACTTATTGACACCTTGTTTCAGACAGGGTTCTAATTCAGCATCATGGAGGATAATAGATGTTCCATCCATCCTGAAACAGTAATGCATCAAACATGTTCGAGAAAGTCATGAGAGAGTTAGTAACTGAGAAATGCTGTAAACAACAATACTGATTGCCAAAGTGTTCCAGTGACTATAACAGGCTGACATAGACTTGTAATGCAGAAGTTAGCAGCAACAAGATATATGGTCACAACGTCGGGGGAGAGAACAGGAGGGTGACTGTTCCATTGGTGGTGTAGGGATTCAGCTAATTTTCCATTTCTGTTTCTTTCTGCTAGAGAAACATAATTCCATGCTTTCAATGGGAATTTTATTCTATTTAATTTTCTATTAACAATTATAAAAATAATCTTTCAAGACATTTAAACCGGACAAATTTTAAACTGATTGGGCCCATCTGGCTGCCGTCCAGTTCTTAACAAAAAAGCTGCAGGGTTGGATTAGTCAAGTACCTACAGGGATTCCACAGTCGCATTTGACAGTACCACATTAGTTGTACATGTACCAGCCTGCCACAACAGTGGCAAGTACTAAGGGGAAAGAGATTGTTGCAGTCTTTGTAACAACTGCCATTGTTGCCAGGCCATGATATAATGAAAACGAAGGCTGTCATTTTCAATACTGACTTGAATACCAAGTAAATGTACTGCCTAAGTTTCAAACCCATATTTAGTGCAAATAGTTCAGGAATTTATCACAAAGAGCAGATCATGTTAGGGTTTTCCACAAAATATCGCCTCTGCTACAACTGTCAAACTAAATAATGAATATAACAAAATGTCTTCTTTCTTTCAATGCCTACTCCACCATATCTACAATCCTTATTATTTGATTGAAGTGCCTTATTGCCTACTTAATATATTAATTTCATATCAACTTTTGAGACCCGTGAAGACCCGGGGTAGAATAGGTCTTCAGTAGCCATGCTTGCTGTAAAAAGTGTCTATGCTTGTCGTAAGAGGCAAGCAACGGGACTGGGTGGTCAGGCTCGCTGATTTGGTTGATGCATGTCATCGTATCCCAATTGTGTGGATCGATGCTCATAATGTCAATCACTGGATTGTCTGGTCCAGACACGATTATTTACAGACCGCCTTAATATAGCTGGAATATTGATGAGTGCGGCGTTAAATAACAAACCAACAAACAAACATCACACTGTGACCTCAGCTGTTTTCATTACAATGCAGTTGCACATATTCTTTGGCCTAGGGTGCGGCGTTAAAATAAAATTTAAAAAAATAAAAATTTAAAAAAATCAACTTTTGAAGTCTCAATCGGGTATCAACAAACCTAATAGCTTGTACAGGTGTCTTCCTTTTTGGCGACCTACGCAACACAGGGTCAGCGCCATCTGCAGCCACAGGGTCAGGGTGCTCCCCAGTGGGGCCGACACCATTCTCAAAGTGCTGAAAGGATGTAATTGTACTGTTCAGGTTGTTGATCCTATTGATATGTTTATTTAGATATTTGTCGATTTTATCACTTATTGACCCAAAAAAAGACATTGTTATATGCACATAATATAATACACAAGGATGAATTTCAGGATCAGAATGTGCCTGCATGTGTGACGATATTTTCAACATTGGATATCTGCAACATATTTAAAAAATCTGTTTCTGAAATGAAAAAATACTTTGAAAATCTGTTATCTGATCATTTATGATAATGCTAACAAAACTTACTGAAAGTAAAAAAAAAAATCATAAAAAAATGAAAGCAAATAAATAACCGGATTAGTAATTATTTTCATTAGTCTGATAATATCATCTGCTGCAGAGTTGCCATCTACTTAATTGTAAAAGTGGTACCGATAGTAGACTACCGGTATGTCACTAGTTCTTCCTGAATTTTACAAGTCTCGGACAAGCAGACTCTTGTTAATTTTAAACTTTTTGTATCAAGATTAGATATTTTTTTTACTAAAACTATGAGCCTGATTTAAAAGAAAAAGAAAAACACCTTGCAACAATGTAATTTTAAGAGCAGAAATTTCTTTTTTTTCAAAGGTCTGAAGTAGAATGATTTTTTTGCAAGAATTTTCAGGGACAATTTTTTTTTTTTTATAAAATCCCAGACTCCCCCCAGATTATCAAATGATTGGTCCCTAATGGAATCGGGTGGTCAGGCTGAAAATTAATGTCTTACTCTCGATATTGCTTGGGAAATACAGGAATTCTGACACTCATTTCATAAAACCAGTATGACACAGATGTGAGTGTAATATGTTCTTTATTAAATCTCAATATATGAGCTGGTAATTCATCAGTAGGTACAAGCAAACAACATTATCTTCAAAGGTAAAAACAGGACTTATTTGCATGCTTCAGTACAGATCTTTTGAAGTGCTATATACCGTGTAACATGACAGCGTAATGTCTTTGCTTTCGGGAAAAATATCAAAACTCATTGTGTGCATTCTATAATACCCACGCTCTCAGAGGGCGCTACACAGCGGTAATTTTGGGACAAAAGTGTGCATTATACACAAGAAAATACAGCTCTTTGTAAGAACGTTTCTTAAAACACAAAAATATGAAACACATTAAAGAGGAAATAGGTCATTGTAATAAATAAATAATGTTACAAAATTGTTGATCATGTTGTTTGCAATTAACACAGAGCTACAGATAAGCAGCATATTTGTGTAAAATACCCCCAAAATATTCAATATGCAATTACTTTCAATTAACTTGCATACAGAAATAAAGTAAGTATAAGTATAAAAACAGCTCGCGTAAATACCCAATAAAGCTTTTTCATCCTGCGTACAAAGAAGCTAATTTCTGAAACACAATTACCATCAAATTTACTTTCCGAGTGAAGCCCATATATTTCGAACAGTTCTATACATCTAAAACATTGTTTACTTTTTTTAAGATCTTCAAATGTTCACTAATTTTGGGAAAAACCCAATAGAGTGATGAAAAGATGAGTGAAAATATTTATGGCGTTATATAACCTGGGACACATTCTATGTGATTGATACTGTAATACTTTATCACAGATATGCAATATTAGCACGGTTTACCTGTTGTTCACCTGTACCGAAATATATACAACATTAAACATGTGAAACTTTTCAGATAACATGGACAACAACGTCTTTATTGCTTGTAACAATGTTTCAGAGCTACTTCCTGGCTAAAACTACAGCTCATAAACCCCTGCCTTGAAATTTAAAAAATCTTAATCTCGGGCTTGAAGTACCGGTATTTAAAAAATCATTTATGTAACTATTGTAAGGTTAGGGTCAGGTTGTCCTAACTCTGGCAAAATTTTAAGTGTTTGTTACGTGTACAAATCTTTCCTCATCATATTGTTATCTTTGTACATTAATCCCACCTTGGGAAAACATATTAGTATGTACATTTATTAACACAATACACTAACTAAGTATTCTCCATGTTCACCTGATGAAGGGGCAAGAGGTATCCCCAGAACATCACCACATTCAATAAAGTGAGTGAGTGAGTGAGTAAGGGAGTTGTTATCCATAAAAGTTTCATGTTTTCATGTTCTTCCAATTTTTAAATGCCTTTAAAAACTTGATAAAGGGACTGGTAACTTATGACGGGGGAGGGCGTCAAGAAATAATTACACAGAGAAAGAGCAAAATATATCACAACTTTCTAGAGAGGAGAGGGGCATGACAAAATGACTCAATTACAAGTTGTTATCCATAAAATTGTGTCTACCTTGTCATCCGTCAACTTCTAAGTAATTGAACAGTTTTTCAGTTCTATAAGTTAATTTTTTTATATATATTTGAACATTACTTATGGACTGGTCATATATTATTGGGGTGGGGGGGACATGAACAGTGTTAGATGTAGGCTTATAAAGGGAGGTGGGCGGGGGGTGGATAAGCATGATGAGAAGAGATGCTACATAAAATGGGGGGGGGGGGGTAAACAAAATTTGGTACAGTCCTAAGACTAATTCTGAACTCTTCTAAGATACATTTTAAAATCAATGAGGTATGACACACAAAATAGATCTAGTAGTCTGTCGTACAGTCCCTGTAACAAATATATCCAATATAGCCCATGCAAGTCTTTATTACTTGCATGTGAAGAGATCACCCGTTTAATAAACATACAGCTGTATTACACATTGTGTAATATCAAAACGCGTGCTTATGTACTCTCGGAACATGTTTCACGAACAAATATTGAAAGCTCTAAACATCCCTTAGCTTATTCAACGACATTGTGTGTGGAGATGATATATCACCGAGAGGAGCTTATGCACACTCGATGACCCCAGCAACCTTGTTGCTAGGCTGACGTCACATGGCATTGTTTCGCCGATGGATCTTGCAACAAAATTCCACAGATTACGTCATCGGGTATTGTGACGTGATTGTAAACTTTGAGGTGCAAGGTCTCATACCACAAGGCGATCATATTGTAGCGCAACGACAGTCGTTATTCTAAGTTAAAGTATGTGAATTGCGATAAACTTTGCGCTACGATACTTTTGTGGAACGGACGTCTGAATTCTAAAGGTGGAGTGAGTGAGTGAGTATGGTTTTACGCCGCTTTTAGCAATATTCCAGCAATATCACGGCGGGGGACACCAGAAATGGGCTTCACACATTGTACCCATGTCCGGAATCGAACCCAGGTCTTCGGCGTTACGAGCGAACGCTTTAACCACTAGGCTACCCGACTGCCCCTCAAAAGGTTGACCATTATATGGTATTAAATTCATATGTTTCAACTTTTGACGTGTTTGAAGAAGGATTCTGTTCAACTCAATTGGATTAAGCCGTGGATCGTGTAGGCGTTAGCCTATTCACAGTCAACAGTATAATTCTAAAAACGTTATAAATGGCAAGTAATAAATAAAATACTAAACTCGCTTCCCTGTAAAACCAATTTTATGAAACTGGCTTTTGCTCGTCAGATACCAGAACTTTTCACTCGTTTCATAAAATTGGTATTACACAGGAGCTCGTTTAGTATTCTAGATATATTTAATACTAATAGTTGCAAAGTCTTGCTACCGATTAAGTTTCTGAAAATAAAGATAGTTTGGGGATCCTTTTTAGCATATTTTTTATTAAGATAACTTAACAACTGCTTTTTCTGTCAAATATTTTCCTTTCAGAGACAATTTAAGATGTTTGTCTTACAACATATCACAATGACAACTTTGCTAAATTTGTTAAAATTCTCGTACGTTTATGTTCGTCTACCTATGAATATTTCGGATAAATTCCATTCAACGTTTGTGCAAAATTGATAGCTAAATATATGAGCATTTCATAGATCTAAATACCTTAGAACACACGTATGTGTGCTTGTTTACTTTGTTGATGTCCAGATGCCGTCTGCCGCAGGCTTTGATCCAGCGCCTGCATGCATCAAGTCTGGTCTTCGGTTTCGGAAACGGGTTAAATTGTCCACAAAATCGATCTGCATACCGACTATCGGAATTACACGTGCCCCATACACAGCGTTTTACCATCCTACCGATAGTCCGACAAATATAGGTAGAATGTCGGACAAATGGCCGACATAAACATTGACTGGGCTCCTGTCTCCCAAAACGTACTGAACCAAGCTCCTTCCCAGCGCGTGACACCTTCGTTACACTCTCGGTATCAGCATAGAGAGCTCCGCGAACGGACTATCGCTGCGAGGAGCTTGGTACTGAACATATACCAACAGTGGAACCAGTTTAACATTAACACGGAAGTAAATTCAGCGCACACTCCGGCGCAGTGACGACTGACCCGTTATCTCTTGGGGAAAGACGGTCACCAACCTAAAGGGGCACTGATCTAACGCAATTCCCCGGACTGGTTGTTGCCTTTTTTACTGTTTTTTTTCCCGTGAGTACCCGGATGATACGCAACGCAACTAAGCGTGACCAGAAACTGGGCTACCGTCTGCAAGGACAGCTTAAATCAACTTGGGGGCTGGAGGCAATATTTGTTTTACGCATTTTTGAACACTGATTGGTTAACTGTGATCTATAAAGATTTCGACAAAGGGCACATGTTAATTAATTTCATCAGCCTAAACAAACAGACAAAAAGAACGGCGGAGCTCATCGGATGTCGTCATTTTGAAATACCCCAGATGGTTATAGTTTAATAATAAAAAAAAGTATCAATGCAGTGAAAGCATTTTCGGATTGCGTCGATAATACATGTACGATTACTACTCCCTTGTTGTCATCCACGTTTTCTGGTATAACCCTACACTTGTGTATTTGTCGTCATTCACTTGATGCTCAGTTAATGAATTTATTACAGGTACAATTAGTGGTAGCACCACTTACATTACCTGACAAAAGTTCCCATTTGGCATTTATTGTGTCTGGGGTAATTATTCAATCTAAATCCAGGTTTGAAGTGGGGTGAAATGTGTGTTATGTAATATGCACGTGGCAGCCCAGCAAGAGGTGAATGATCAGTTGATTTACTTTTTTGGTAAATCAACGGATCGTTCCTAGTCATGAAAGGATTAACAGAAAATACGTTGATTGATTAATCACTATTACCTTGCACAGGGGATATGTCAAAAGTGAGTGTTTACATGTCTAGGTTTACTAAAACAAAGGGAATACACTCACATCATGGCGTGAAGTGCCGATGTAAAAACAACATACTTTGTTCAAAGGGTCAACTGATAAAACGTTGATTGATTGCTCATTGTTATCTATCACTCAGTGGATTTTTTAGGAACCGTGGACGTTATGAAAATAGTTGTCACGTGGGCTTTCTCAGCCGACCTTTGAGACTTGACACCTATGTGACACACCTGAAACAATCTAAGTGATCGGTTATATCCCATTAGTTAGACGTCCCATTAGTTAGACGTCCCAATTGTTAGACATTTTTATTTAGGCAAAGAGGGAGTATACCTACAGGAGTAATGGATCAGTCCTAATTAGATTAAAGTTCTGAGTAGGGATAGGGGACTCACAGTTTAGGGAGTATATATGTTACAATTTCATTAATTAACCTTACTCTCAGCACAGGTTCAATAGGCATGTGATTAACTATGTAAACTATGGAGTAGCTTAATTGTCTTACTGTATGATCAGTTGAAGGAGTCGAGTTTAGATTATCTACTCATTCGGCGTGGAAGTGAGCAGTTGATATTAGATGGATATATTTACAACAGAAACCGCGAGAGGCAAACCTGCACACATTGGAGATGTGTCGTCAAGACGTGCAATGGGAAATGTACGACTGGCGGTGACTTTCTTCACAGTCTGTCGGAACATAACCATCCGCCTGAAGATGAAACCAGAGTGAACTTTGTCAGCAATCTTCCTAAAAGAGCGCGAGAAGAAACCACACAGACGCAGGCATCAAATGTAAAGTGTCATTAAATGTTAAGTATACTATTAAAGTATCTTTTTAAAGCTGCTTTGCTTTGTTTTTCAGATCTTATCTGGACTATTCCATTTTAAAGTCTTAGGTAACAAGCAAAAGGATTAGTGTGCACTCAACCGTTTAAAGTGTTGTTATAAGCTGTCTAACTATTGGGACGTCTAACTAATGGGAGGACACCAAGTGATCAGTTGAGAAACGAACACGGGTTATAATATCCCGAAACTATATATATCTTTTAAAATATTTGATTGTTACAGAGACACGTGACATCGAATAAGTTTCTTTGTACAGCTGCAGACGAGTGGGATATTGTTCCTTTGTGTGGATATTCACGGATACATTCCTCGAACAAGGAAGCTGCCTAAAATTTATACACATAAATTTGGTAGGTTGTAATTATGGTATTTGCATTTCGTTTTCCTTCATTTGCTGTAGCATTGAACCGATCCGTTCTTGTTCCTCTACGTCTTGGTTGGGAAATTATTCAATGCGCGATAGACGTTGTTTTCACAAGTCTTTTCCTTTGTAAGCGTGTATATATTACCGTCAATTTGTAAAATGTGATTCTCTCAGGCAATTTATAAAATGTGTAAATATTTCAGTCATTTTGACTGAAAAATCTGTCCAGATTGACTAAAATTGGTTAAGACGATCAAAAGGGCCTAAAAACATCACAACAGATCATTATGTAGGATTAGAAGCCAAACAACATAGAAATGTACTTTTCAACGTAACATTTTCAGTCTCTTGGTGATGACATTAAACATCAAAATGTTTGGAATTCGTTAACATAATAATACAGATGGAAATGTTTTTCAGTCACTTTGTAAAATAACTGAATATTTAGGCGTTTAATAAATTTGAAAATGTTACACATTTTGACAGTAAAATAATATACACACTATAAAAAAAAGCAATGCTCGGGTGAAATATTTACTTTGTGTTGCAAGTCAAAATAGTGTAAACGAAAATCGCAAAATTACCAAGCAAGTGACTTATCAAAACTTCGTCACCATTACCGATGCTACCCACAAAGACACCTACATTTCCTTATTATCTCGAAAACTATATTTGTGACCATACGCCCTTATTATTACCAATAAAAGTGACTAATGCGCTTACGAATGGCGTAGCAGAGGTCGCGAACTTGTCTAGATTTCTGCTATACATCCGGGTATTCACTGGGAAAAAACAATAACAAAGGCAACAACCAGTCCCCGGGAATTGCTTTAGATCAGTGCCCCTTTAAGAGCGACTTCCCCACCAAAAAGCCCTCATATTAAATTTGAAAGATTCTGTCAGCGGCACCAGAGACCATATCTCGGTATATGGTCTCTGTCAGAATGTATTTTGTATCGATTTAATACACATAATCAATTGAGTCGTTTCACGCTCTATAAATCAGGGGTTTAGAGTCTATTTGGTCATTTTTAGAACCACAGGACCATGTAACTAGATCAAACCGGGCGAACAATAATAATAACAAACGAACCCGCAGACGAGGCCTCGTCCACGAGTTTTCTGCGAGTTCGTTTATAATAAATATTATTAGTTGCATGCTCCGTGTTAGGACACACAATCTTAGAATTGAGAATTAATCATGTTATTATGCTAATATAGTTATATCAAAGTTTTCTTTGCAGTCGTCTGAGGCGGGTCAATTCGCTGTGCAGAGCTGCGTCTCGTGGGCACGCTAGACAGTTATGATCACGGGTTCGCCCGGTTTGTCGGCACCATCACCGCACCCGAACATTATTGAAAACGTTACCATGACAACTAAATTACTCCCCTAAATTACCTAAACGAAATTTTAAAATTAAAAAAATACACCTTTCCCAAAACTCCGAAGGATGTTTCTCAATCTGACTATGAAAGCATAAATTTGTATGTAGCAGCTATTTAATAGCACGGTAATACTTATTTAAAATAGTCTTCTAAGGTCAACACGTTGTTCCAATACAAATATTGCAAGATATGGATATAGAAACATAAAAATATATTACTATAGCAACCATCCATGACATTCAAGATCTTCCATTGTTAACTAAAGACTGTCATCTCCAGAACCATGAAGTGTAATTTAACATACTAAACATGAAGACATATGCCGTTAGGAAACCATTATTCTCGGTAATGAAACCCGTTATAATTCAAAGTCAAGGTCCATGACTGCAGCCAAGGTTAAGGGTAAACTATTTTCAATGTGCCATAAAAGTATTACTATTTGGCAAGTAAAGAACTCATTGATTACCTACATACACACGCGTTTTTGTTAAAGAATCAAACTGCAGAAAGATACACTGTTGGCAAAACTTATACATATATTTTACTACAGGAAACTGTCTATAAATACAAATCAATATCCGTAATGGATAAAGATTCATGTACATCTGAAGTAGTGAGTGAACATGATTTGACGCAGATTTGAACAATACCCAAACGATATCACGGTGGGGGACACCAAAAATGGGCTTCGTATATAGTGGGGAATCGAACCCAGGCCTTTGTCGTGACGAACGAACGCTTTAACCCCACTTGGCTACCCCACCGCGCCACTTCCGAAGTAAGCTTTCACCGAGTTGGAATGATACGGCCTGATCTCGAATGCACCTTTTTGCAATCTACTGGGAGAGTGAATGTTGTTAATTTAAAACAAACGTACATGACTTTATAATAGACGAAAATAGACGTACAAAATTCCTTTTATTCACTTTACATAAAGAACAAATTATAATTCATCATTTTAATGCCTCTTCATTGACCAACGTCTGAGTGAGTGAGTATGGTTTTACGCCGCTTTTAGCAATATTCCAGCAATATCACGGCGGGGGACACCAGAAATGGGCTTCACATATTTTACCCATGTCGGGAATCGAACCCGGGTCTTCGGCGTGACGAGCGAACGCTTTAACCACTAGGCTACCCGACCGCCCCGACCAACGTCTGAATGTAAATTGCAAAGTACATGTAATCTATTCCAATCTATTTCCCAGTATCGGTAACAAAATATACTCCTCAAAACGAGATACACATATTAGTTATTCGAACTCACGATAATCGGTTCCTGGCACGCCCAAGAGACGCCTTAGACGACTGGGTCACACGTACCCTAGACCATCACTTATTCTATGGGAGGCACGGGTGGCCCAGTCGTCTAAAGCGCCACGATTCGCTGTGCAGAGTTGCGTCCCTTGGACACGCCAGAAACCTATGATT